AACACCTCCAATTGAGATCCAGAGTAGTGTAGTAGAAAGGCACAGCATGCCCCTTCTCCGCATCCCGGTAGCAGAGACCAAGTAACCCTGGTGGCGATACGGGAGTTACATACAGCACATACAGACCAGCGCAAGCTCCACGCATCGTTTTCCTTTTAACTTGTTAGGCAACCCCTCCCCTTCCTCCTCCTCTTTTTTGCACCATTAACAAAACCGCAAGTCAGCCGGATCCCTCCTGCCCAGCTCCTCCAAGGAAACTGACATGATAGATCCAGATCCTCATCCTAGTCGTTTCCATGAATGAATAAATAGTGAGGTCACCAAAGAACGAGACAGGACGGAAGCGCTTCAGTACATCCTCCCACCAACCGTACCCTCCCCCGCCCCCTACTCATATACTCCCCCTAGTAATATACTGCTCCGAACAATATACCATCCCATCTAATCCTACAGAGACAGTTTCCTTTCACAAACGATAGATCAGTAGGTAGATTGGGTTTCTCGAGTCCTAAATTGCTTTGCAACCCCATTCACTCAAGACTAGACGCAGATCGGGTCCATTCTCTACCAATACAAAATTTCTCAAATGTCGAATAACTGGGGAATTGGAGATGATGTGACCACCAGTGGGGGTGCAGGGTACAGATAACGAGGGATCGATTAGCTGTCTTTGCCGCGTTGGAAAAAGCAATCTATTACCAGTCACTGTACCATAGGTTGAATGTATGGTCTCAGTTTGCGGGGAGAGAAGCGATATGTTTGGTGCAGGCGTTAGGTGGTTAAAATAAGTTCGAGGACGAGATTTGTTGAGTAGCAGTAGTGGGCGATGATACGCTGCATTGCTTGTTCCAGCTCCGAGAGGATCTGGTCACGGTTGGATGGCGGATAAAGGGCAGGGCATGCAGGACAGAACAAGGTATGGATGGTCTCGTCCGGAACGTCAAAAGACACGGGCGTGTCATTGCTTATTTGGTTGGCATTACACTCACAGGAAGATTTTCAGGAAAGAAGAAAAACGCAAATGGAGAACAACACCAGATGCAAGCCCGTCGCTTCGCCTTCCTCTGTCAAATGAATTCGAACAACATGAGATAAGATGGATAGAGAAGAAAAGGGAAAAAAAAGAAGAGGTCAATGAAGACGAACAAGGAGAAAGGAGAAGGAAATGAGAAATAACACCAAACCCTACTTGGGAGCAGAAACTACCTTCCATGTAAGAAAAATGAAAACACATTCAGCGGTAAACATTCATTTGCAAGTCGCTGGATTCTGGAATTCCGCAAGTGGATGATTGTGTTGTGTGTTGTGTGACGTTCCGCGTGGTCGTGTGAGGTTCTCGGGCGGCTCAGATGTGCTGCTGCTGCTGCTGCCGATCGTCTAGTTTCATGGCCATCGATGTCGTTGGGGGTTTGGGTCTCTCGTTGTAGTGTGACATGGTGGGAGTTTTGTTGTTGACGAAGTTTATCTTCGCCCGAACCTGCTGCACATGGAAAAGCTCGTATGATTCCTTACTTCTTCTTTTGCTTTCGCGGAGGAGTGATGGGCCTGCCTGAGCTCATGCCCCCGTAAACGTACTTTTGTTTCTTCTCTGCTGGTTTCAGGATCTATTGGTGACAGAAAAGTTAGCTCGGGCCGGAGAACACCTCGCAATTCCTGTCAAAACCAACCTGGAAGGAGCATAGTAGACTTTCGTCGACGCTCATCATTGCACCGGCATTGTCGAATTCGCCGCAGTAGTTGGGCGCACTGAACAACGTGACGAGTTGCCTCTTGGAGAAAAACTCATATCCATCCTCAACGACTTGATGCGCACGACATATCAAGTCCATGTCGTGCTTCTGAAGGAATCGCGATACAACATCCGGGCCGAACGTGAACGAAACGCCACGGTCATTCTCGCTCCAGCCGGTGATGTCTTTGTCGGGGTCGGACCACAGAAGGTCACACAGGAGACCGCAGTCGGGAATCTATCGCTGTCAGCAGGTGAAGCTTCGAGGCTTCAAGGGGCCCGAGAATATCCTTCGCTTCCAAGTGATCCCAAGATGCAGGTGGAAAGAGAGCGAGAACGCGGACAAAGTAATTCTTGGTCTTTGGATAACGAACGAACTCCCAGAACCGGCGACCGAAATAAAGATAGACTTACATCAGTAGGACGCATGACGCGCCGAATCTGCTCCATGGAGTTCAAATCGGGACTCAAACCTCCGTGCATGGTGAAGATCTTCTCATCAATGATGGCAGCAATGGGCAAGCAGTTGAAGCAATCAGTGAAAGTCTTCCATAGCTTGATGTTGTATCTCCGCTTGCATTCATCGTAGAAACCATAGATACGGTTGATAGAGGCACACTCGTGGTTGCCACGCAGGACGAAGAAGTTCTCAGGGTACTTGATCTTGTAGGCCAGGAGCAAGCAAATAGTCTCCAAGGATTGCTTGCCACGGTCAACGTAGTCTCCGAGGAAAAGGTAGTTAGCCTCAGGGGGGAAGCCACCGTATTCGAAAAGACGCAGGAGGTCGTAGTATTGGCCGTGAATGTCACCACAGATCTGATGAGGACCGCCCGGTTAATGACCATGAAACTATCCCCGGATGACCCGGTACTGGGAGATTGAATGAAGAGGTGGCGTTACCTTGATTGGTGCTTCCAATTCCAGCAGAATAGGCTGAGAGATGAAAATCTCTCTCGCCTTGGTGCACAGATAACGGATCTCGGATTCCAAAAGCTGCACTTGCTTCCCAGGCCGGCTGCCCCTCACCTCTAGCAATCTATCGATGATCGAGTCCAAATCCACTTCCTGATCGGCCATGACTGAGCGATTTTGATGAGACACGACGGGGAGCGAGGGGGTGGAAGGAGAAGAACAGAGGAAGGGAAGGTGAAAAAAAGGATTATTAAGAACAAGCGTCAAGCGAAGGAAAGGAAAGGAAAAGACGCGACGGAAGGCTTTGCGGTGCGCTCGCTGGTAGGACAACTGATGAGACGACGTCTACTAAGCTGAATATCAGATGAAGTTTGAAGTCAGAAAATTGTTCCCGGATATGAGATAAAGGTTGGTGGTGGTGGTGGATAGAGTTTTGGGGAAAAGAGGCGATCGAGACGCGCGGGGGAAAAGATCATTGCGCCCGGTGAATTTTTCCTCGACCCTTTTCGCCGATTCCCGCCCACCAATCTATGGGCTTCTTCGCCTCCAGGGGGGAGGGAAGGGGGGAGGAAAGAGTCAAGAGTCAAGAGGAGAGGGGGCGAGATAGAGAGCTTACCAGCCAGAATCTATTAAGACGAGAGCGATGAAGCAAAAAGAGGCCAAATGGCCTTGAGGGGGAGGGGGAAAAGATCGGATGAAGGTCTGGCCGGGGAGATGCCAGAAGACGTCAACAGAAGAAAGCAATCCGTGGTCGAAAAGGTGGAGGATGATGCGCAGTGGTGATAACGAGGAGATGCGGCTAGCAAAGGCTCGAGAGCGAAAGGGCTGCTCTGGACGGGGCCGTTGCAAAAAATAGCAGCAGGCGGCGGGAGAGACGGTTTGGGGGGGGGGGGAAAGAAAGAGGAGAGGAAAGAGAAAGAGAGAGAGACCCAGAGCAAGTTTGGCGGCGGGTACGAAAGGCAGGAAAACTGAGGATTCCACCCAAAAGATCTAGCGCTCTAAAAGACACCGGGTGCTAACGGCAATCGCGAAGAGTTTCTTCGAATATAGGGAGGGTGGATAAGCTTTTGTTTTCTCTGATATCAACTGGTAGGTGATGTGAGAGGGGTGGGAGGCGTGAGAGAAAAAAAAATATAATAAGAAGGGAAATGATGGAGGGGAGGGTAGGAGAGGGGAAGTCGAGTTGCGCGCGCGCAGTAGAGAGAAGACAAGAAAGAAGACAATTGTTGGTCGGCAATCAAGGGATCTATCTTTCTAGGAACGGTGCTCCAGCTAGACAAATGATGACCGATTTTTGTTGGAGATTCTCGCCCAAACGAAGTCGAATGGATACAGACGAAGAAGATATAGATGGAACCCAACGAACTGTATAGGAAGGAGTAACCAGGCAGCAAAGGGTGGAGGCCCTAGGAGGTGGAGGCGGTGGATAGAAGAAGGAAGAGGAGTACTGTAGCGATAACGAAGCAACAACTTTCCAGCAAGCAGCACAAGTCGCGCGCGCGAGAGAGTGGGTGGGCAATGGGCAGTGGGTAGCGGGCAGTGATCGAGTGGGCAGTGGAGAGTGAGTGAGAAAGAAGAGGTGGAGAGGAAAAGCGGCGCGGGAGAACCAGGAGAAAGAGAGAGGGAGAGGCCAAAAAAGGGATTGATTCTCTCTCACTGCACTTCCAGTTCCACTTGCAGTTCCATCGGTATGGCAAAATCCTCGTTTTCCGTGCAGATCGGCCCCGTTGGTTGGTCTACAGCCTAAGGCGGCGAGAACGGAGAGGAGGAGGCGACTAAGGTTCAGTGGTGGTTTGAATGTATACAACAATCTTGCCAACAACAACAACAACAATAACAATAACAGAACCCCAACAACCACAACCACAACCACAACCACAATAACTACCTACAACAATATAAATCAATTATTCTGCAGCTCCTCTCCCGCATCATATTTCCAGTCGCTGCACTTCCAAGACACCCATATATTCATGTCACCTTCCCCTTTGCGCATACCTCTTTCTCAGCCATCATCATCATCCTCCTCCTCCTCCTTCCCCCCCTGCTCTGCCTTAATTTAATCCTTCCATTCCATCCCAACCCGACCAGGCCAGACCAATTCCCAACACGGGTGATTGGCACTCTCCCAAAACATGACTGCTTCTCCTCCCCCAGACAACCTCACGCGACAGATTCTGCAAGGAGGTTGACGGCCTGAAGTGAGTATACTTCCCCCACACTTGGCGTCAAATGTAAATGGGAGGCAATGCGGTAGGAGGCGTCAACTAGTTCTCTCCGTCATCATCGAGCGGTCGGTCGGCGCACGAGCACACTCCCCCGACCATCCGTCTGTCCGTCTGTCTGCCCAACCGCAGAACAGGAAGTTCCAGAAGAGCAGGTGTCATGCATCCTTTCTTCAATAGTTGATTATGACAAGCTTTTGGGCGGATTTTCACCCTTTCCAGAATCATTTGATTCGTTCCATTCATTCGCGAAATGGAAGCGGCTATTACAATTATTGGATGTCTATGGAGGCGATGACGCACAGGCACAGATTGTGAGTTCGAAAGCAACCCAAATCGCATGGCATTTCAACTATTGGCACTATCGCTGGCAGATTCTTTGACTCGTCACAATATCTTCGTGTCTCATGCATTAGGTCCGAAACTTCATCATGGGTCTGGTGAGAAATCCGAGAAAAAAGACCGCTTCATCAGAAAGGGGAGAAATGGGTCCTGCGAGTTGGAGCAGGGGAATAAAAGTATACAGCTTGTGCACCCAAGCAATCGCAAGTCAAACCGAAACCGGCCATCAAAAGAGCATTGAGCGAGTCAGAAACAAAACAATGCTAGTAACGCCGCACCGAGACTCCAGCACCAAATACAATACAAAGCTGTCTAAAAGTAGGAAGCATTGTTCTTTCATCACACCTCCATTCGAAATGGACCAGCCGAAAAAAAAAAAAAGGTCTCATGCACGTCATAGAATGTATAGTCGTGGAGAAGGTAGAGGAGCGGGAGAGCGAGGCGAAATGGGTAGTGATGTAAAGAACCAGGTAAGGCGTGACACGCCGTGGACCTATAAGCTGGAAATGTTCTCAAAACGCCATGGATTATGCAGTTCAGCAAGCAGCTGCCAGTCGCACATATTGGTGAATTCGGCATTCAACATGTCGAGTATATTCAAGAACCGGAAAGTAAGTGTCATGGAAGAATTGCTTTTGTCGAAGCCAAGGTAACTTTTCCGTATCGCGGAGATGAATATCGTGTCTCAGTCAAGTGAGGTTGGTATCGTCGGTCAGGTCATGGATGTTCTGCGCTCCGTCCTCGTCTTTCCTTCTCGCTCTTTCTTTCGTCTCCCTTGCTTTTGATTTTTTCTGCTTTTTTTGATATCGATTTCAGTTTTGTCGTCTCCGAATGGGCCATTGTGTTTATGGCCCATGTCATCCGAATCGCTAGTCGTGAGGCAGCCTAATCCTAAAGCTCGAACCACGACTCATTTCAACTCAGAGCATGTCCTCCACTTAGTATGACCGGTGGGCCCACCCGGGTCAGGGAATCGGCCGGCATTCTGGTAGCTTCGGTAAAATCAGTCCCTGTGCGTGGCACCGTAACATCAGTCGGACTGTGTTTCCAGCCCCGATCACCGAGTTGCGCAAGCCACGTGTTGCCCAGTTCTTGCCGGAGAGCGTCCAATTCCCGTCGGTAAAAATCCTCATCCATACTCCAGCCTATGCTCTGTAGTGCTCGCTGAGGTGTAGGACGCTCTTCGCTTTGAGCAATGGATTGTGTTTGTTCATGGTCGACATCGCTAGAGTTCTTAGGGCTGGGAGATCTGGCCTGAGGTCCACCATCAGATTTCCATTGACGGTCGAGAGACGGCGAGATAAACGGGTCTTCAAGTGATTGGACATGGTGAACAGGAAGAGTAGAAGGCACCACTGCACCTGGAGTATCATTACCATCAGTGGAGGGTGTCTCCTGCGGCCGATCGATGATCCTCCGCCGGGTTCCCTTTTTGCGACGAGTCGACCCCACCTCAACTTCACCCTGGAACACACGACCAGTAGGTCGCCCCTGTTCGTGAAGCAACGGGACTGCCTGATTGACGGTGTTGGATGATGGTTTGCTGACCACGGCTGAAAGATCAGCCGCAGCCGATCGTATGACAGGTGCAGCTTCGGGTTCCGCAGCACGCTCCACCAGCTGTTTCCGTTCCGTATACCCGGGCCCGGATCCATCGATGATAATGTCTTCCGAGTACCCCGGAGTACGACGGAAAAGATTGAAGATGATCACGCGGTAATTAGGATGCGTCTTGACAAACGGATTACCCGACACCCAGATCTCCCGTATCTCAGGGAGGTTTGTGAGCCTGGCGATCTCTGTCGGATCGGAGAGGTTGTTATCGCGAAGATCCAACCGCTCCAAGGAGAGCAATCTCTCAATGCCCGCGAGAGAGCGAAGACGGTTGCCACGAAGATTGAGGGCGGTGATGGCGGGAAGAGGATTGCGGGACAGCGAGTGGAGAGATTCTATCATGCAATGCGAAAGGTTCAAGGCGCGTAAAGCAACAAGGGTCGACAAACTATCGGGGACTTCAGTAAATAGGTTGGCCGAAATGTCAAGCGAGTGAAGAGTGTTGGCTACAGGCGCAAGGCCGGCAGCAGAGATACTGGTCAAGGAGTTATCGGGAAGCCCAAGATGTCGCAAGAACCTCCATTTAGAAGCGGGGAGGACCCCAGCCAGTAGATTGGAGGAGCTTCCGTTGCGGTGTCCCGAGGTATCGCTTGAGTTTGAGCTGCCGGAGCCGGTGCGTCGGATGCGAGAGGCAGTTCCCCGGTTATGGCGGTAGGATGAGTGCTTTGAGCTCGTTGGGCGCGAAGGAGAAATACTTCCAGTTCGATGGCGGCTTTTCGAACCTTCCGACGCCATCCGAACCATCGAGGCTGCTTGGGGACTTGTACTCGTTCCAAAAGCTGTATCGGCGATCGGCGATCCTGGCGCCGAAAGGGACCCTGGTGCTTGAGATTTGTTGTTGACAGGTCGAGGGTGCACAGACTGGCTCCAGCCCATCATCGGCCCATTGTTGTGGTTTCGGGTTGATCGGCGGCGTCGTTTGTCGATGTCATCCAGTACGATCCCAGTGAGTAACTCAGCGGGATCATCGATGTTTGCCCGCTTGATCGTCAAGGTCCGCAGTTGCTCTGACAGTCTGTCCCAACCGAAAAAGGATCGGAAGTCTATATCGATAATCTCTAAAGCGCTCAAGTTTTTGAAGGAGTGGAGGGGCACTGCAGTGTCAAAGGGGAACTCTTCATACCCGCGAATCAAACGGGCACGACGGTCAGGGGCTAGCCGTAGACAGGGAATCTTGGTGAAGGCAGAGTATAGGTACTTTGTATCCGCCTCTAGAGCCGCTTTGGCCTTTTCTGACCTGGAGACGGGGTCTTTGGATACCAGGCCGAATGAGGACCAAAGCGAACTCATACCAGACATAACACTACGGACACTGGATACGGAGTGGATCGAATCTCGATCCCCCCGGGATCGCTGGGGCTTATTCAAGAATGAGACGTAAGACTGCGAGATGTCTGTATGAATGTTTTCCAGTCTAACATTCAAGGGACCCACAGCAATGGAAAGTTCTTCGAAGCAGGAGAGGAGATAGAAGAGATGATGAGGGGTGAGAGTGAGTTTGGCAGGCTTGACACTCTGTGAGGCGAACTTTAAAGCACCGAATGAAAGCGCAGCTGCCAGGGTGGATGAAGCCGAGCTCGCGGCCGAGCCGGATTGAGTGTGTGTGGTTTGTACATTTTTGGAAGGTTGGCGTTTCAGCTGCAGAGCGTTCGCCAATGCCTTCTCATGAGTTCGTACGAAACTTGCGAGGTTCTAATGGCGGAAGCAAATGTTAGAGCACAATGGCATTGAGATGCGCAGCACAACAAACCCAATCGGGATGTAGCAACCATGTGGAGGGGGAGGGGAGCACCAACCTTGATGAAAAGCTGGCCATCTTCACTGTTCAGCTTCTCCATAACGAGAGATACTTTCGCCCAACAAGACAGGGAATATCTAGCTAGGCGGACTCTGAAAAGGAACGCTCAAGTACTCGTAGTATGGACAGCAAGAGTCGACATCTTGCTAGCCAAGGCACTCGGATAAAAAGAAGCTGTGAAGCGCTGCAAGTCAGCAGCGAGTCTAGGGATATGGCAAGACCTAATGAAAGAAACGCAGAGCAAGGATGATGGAAAGTACCTTGAGAGGATATATGTGAGGTACAACGGTAAACAATCAACAAACGTGAAGACAACAGACACAACAAGCCGCCCACCACAACAATGTAAGATGGAAGAAGATCGAGGAAAAGGCTTGGAGAAGGAAAGGACACGCGATAATAAGGGGGGGGGTTATCCTTGAAGTCAGTTGAGGGAAGCTTGTCACCGGGACAAAGCTGAGGAGGGGACAGGGACAAGACAAGATGAAGTAGAAGGTATCACCAAAAAAGGAGAAGATGGATGGATGATGGGATGGGGATAGCGATGGGAAAAAAGAGGACCGGGGGGAGCTAATATGCAAGCACCACGGACCTACTGATTTAGCCTAGTGGGTGGTATGTGACGGATGGGGGTGGGAGGGGGGGGGGGGGGCCAAAGGGGAGTATGGATGTGCACCGGAGCAATCAGCTGAGGAGGAGGGGTTTTAGGGAGGAAAAGTGGTAAGCCGTGAATGAGAAGATAAATTATTTTATCGTGACAGATAGATACTAAGGTATCTTTTTGCTCCCCTCCAGAAAAAGGGATTTGGAGACGGGCAAGGGAGGAAAGAGGGTGGGGAGGATAAGACAAGAGGAAGGACAAGCGAGGATCAATCACGAGAAGATAACCAGAGATCCGGAGGGTCTGGTTTTTGATCACAAAGAAAGATCAATTGTCTCAATGTCTCAATGAAATAGGGGGAAGGGGACAAGAGGGAAGAAAACCAAAAGGGAGGAGAGATGGGCGGGCTAGAGACTACCTAGTAGATACCTACGGACGTACTAATATAAATTATTATCATATAATATTCCCTGACTGTTATCATCTTCTGCCTTCCCTTTGGTCAGGGAGCCGCTGCATCGGGCGTGGTCGAGGTACGTAGTACATGCATATAGTACGTACCGTACGGTATGACTCCAGTGGATACCGGATCACTAGTAACTAACTAACTTAACACTTGCTAAATCAACTTATCGCTAGGTTACTCTGTTTAGTTGCTTTGCTTGTCTTCTTCCTTTCAAGGATCAACTACTCCATTAGGAGAAAAAGAATCGGTTGTTTCTTTCTCTTTGATACGCTACTCGCTCCCTCAACCGACTTTTTGACCACCCTTCTGGCATGCATCTTCAAAGACAACGATGACCCGGTGGCGACTTTGGTCTTGGGAGGGCAATTCATTATTTCGATGATTTGTTACAGATTGCAGACTCCGAGTGGCTTCCGCCCTTTCTCATGTTCCTCCTCTCTCTCCCGACCAGGAGAACAGAGTTCATATCATCTATACATAATGGTCCATGATAGCTATCCAGCCCATAGGAACAAGGCTCCTGGATTGCAGTCTGTAACCACATGTTTGGACTCAATTTTCCATACCTCGAATGGCTGGTAGCCTTCTCCAGAAACTTTATCTGGCGGGGGAGGGACGGCCGAATATTCAAGTTGATCCGAACGTGATAGAAGACATACCACAGATTGGCGAGAGATTCCACTGGTGCCTCTGGGCGTACCATCGGATGAGGAAAGTTTCTCCTTCAGTGACTTCATGGCTGAGGCATTGTTGGTTTCAGCATCAACAAACACAATTCCATATTCCAGGGACAGACCATGGCGTACGTCGTAGAAAACTAGAAACCATTTTCTTTTACCACCATATCGCTATCCATTCTTTTTCAACTGGGGCTTTTTTTTTGGGTCAAGGAAGAAAAAAGTGGAGCATCTTTCCGACTGTGTCCATGAGAAGCGGGTTTCCCGATCGCCCGACCCTTGAACTTGAACTTGAACTTGGCTGGTGCAGTACTCCGTACAGAGAAGACTTTTTAAATATGCAAGCGTAATGATCGTGATTCGCAGTGAATAACGACGAAGAAGGGCAATGGAAGCGCCGACGCACACACCATGTTGATCCTTTTACTCCGTCGTCTCTTGTGAAGCGACTAGACTAATGTAAGTCAGTGTAAAAGGTCCGATTTCCTCTTTTTTCTTCTCCCCTTCCACATATAGTACTTCGCTTCTTCCATTAAAGACGAGGGCGGAGAGGAAGAAGGGGGAGGGGTTGGCTCCAGTATGCTGCAGGTTCGGGGGTATGTAAAACCATACCAGTTCTAAGTTGAGTATAATTATGGAAATGAAAATGCAACTGGCGCACCAGCGGGACGAGCAACTGGACCGTCGGTGTCAAAACATCCCGTGATTGGTAGCGAGCCCCCAACTGTGCAGCTGATAGCGCCCTGGCGGACTTCCGAGTATAACGCTCTCGGGCGAATCAGCCTTTGCCCTCCAGCCACTGTGCATGACGCTTGACTCGACCCGGCTCTAGAGTATCAATCCCTGCTCGGTCACTTGTAAGAGCCTAAGAGGATCACAGGCAGTCTGACACTAAGGAAGTAAGAAGACCCGGCATACGGATGGATATGGGCAATCTGGGAGAGGGCCAAAATAACATCATGGCTTTCCCAATGCAGTTAATTGAACGGACGCTTGAGAAGTTGAGGCGCTCTAGTGACTGCCAGTGGAACTAGGATCTTACCTAAGGTACGTAGGTATGTACAAGAAATGACCATACACACTACTACCTTAGCGGCATCGAGGTTATGATTCCTTGGGATTGACTTCTCGATCATCTGTATGGGTGGGAAGATTGATTTGAACACATCTCAACAATTGTGTGGAAATCTCTTGCCGGCCGCATATATGGGCTAATTACTGCATCTCGCTTCATGCATCGGTTCTTTAGCTGAAACTCGGAAGGAGGCATCGCTTATTCCGAGGACAATAAGGTGACTGAATGGTTGTACGAGATTCTCTCTTAAAGTTATGTTTATTTCCACCCTCTTCCCCCCTCTATCCCTCCTCCATCTCCGCCCTCTGTGTGCAGTGTGTGTCAGCAGGAGAATCACGAAATCCTACTCTGTTATCTCGCACTGACGGATTGGCATTCTTCGGAGGCTCAAGTGGAACCCTAGGCTCATCAGGAGGGTTTCTCATCTCTAAGCATCAAGTGACTTGCAGCCCACTCGGACGGGCTTCGTAAAAATGATCGGGTCACCCGTCATGCCGAAAGCAGTTGACCCCCATCGTTTTCCTCCTCCCCCTCCTCCTCCTTTTCCGTTCCCCTTGGTCTTAAAGTTTGACAATCTAATCTAATACATTCCCTGTCTATCAACCCGTAACTTTCTATCCCATTGCATGGGGGATCAACAGGTGCGCCGTGCACAACGGCCTGTTCGACAATCTGATGATGTGCTTTGCTTCTGTGTGGTTATCTCGATGACCAAACCTTAAAACCCCTTCGGCAACTCGTTTCATTTGCTCAACAACGCAGTTGTTATGGATCGCTAGTCGCATTTCCCGCTGTCACACCGCTTTCTTGTTGACGCTATTCCCGGATATCACACCACATTCTTTTTTTTTCTGTCTTCTGGCTCTAGTGGTTTCCACTTTCTCGGTCTCTGTGTCAGTGATAACATCATTTGATCCAGAATATCTACGCCCGCCCCCCTTTCTAGGGGGTTGTGTCATTGTCATTGTCATTGTCAGTTGCCCTCATTCCATGGCCCACGTTCTCGGCGATCCTCCATATGCTCGATCGCAACGAGGGGTATTCTAGTGTCGAATCTTCGATATTCTATGACGTCTATGGAGGGGGGAGCACTGCTTGAATGATGGTAGTTGACCGCTCTCTCTCTTTCTGCCTCACTTATCCACACGTATGTAGGCCATGGAAGGGGATTGAGGCTGACTGTATCCATATCGCAAATGCCGGTCGCCCAGTCTTCACAATGATAATGACGATGAAGTGGGCACGGCACCACCTCTCTGGAATCTCTTCAATCGCCTGTTCTCGGGAGGACAATAGGCGCAATGGAGAATTCCCTCTTCATGCCTTGCCTCTCCAAGGCGTTTGTTTACCAGAGCCGGTATCCTTCCGGAGTGCGCTTTGTGATTTGCTCACCATTTTGTCCTATGGATACTACAGAAAAATCTACACCGTTATTACGAAGCCAAACATAAGGCAACAGTCATTCGCCCAGCGACTCTCTTTTTTTTTTTTTGTTCTTCGGTCCAACGTCATGACCAAGTTCGTGAGAGTACGTAGCCTGGTGAAACCACAACAAAAACAACAGCGATGTTTCCCAGTCAAATGGAATCGGTAAGAGAAGGTCCGGCCCTGTTCCATGCGTTGTGTAGCATGCTAGGAGTACCGTGGTAGAAACACAAGTTGTACACACACACACACACACACACACACACACACACACACACACACACATTAGCAGAAAGGCTTTGCTGTTATGCGAGGAGGTCCTCCCAAGGGTCTCCGGCCCAGCCCCTATACCTTGTTTCCGACAATCCTCGCTTCAAGCCTGTCTCACTACATTTGCGGAGAGATAGAAACAGAGGGTTTTTCGACCTCTTGGCGATGGGCGATGGGCGATGGGTTTGGCAATGGGCAAAATTCCCGCCCACTCACTACCTGATACAGGAATGTTGGAAACATGTCCGAAACAAGACATACGAAATACTTGTAGAGCGGATTGGAATGGGAGTCCCCGGAGCCTTGAGGGTGGAAGCTCCGATGTAGTCCCATCGTACCAATCACCGTTGAATCAGGACAGGGCGCACATGACCGACCCATTATGACATCTTCAGGTCTGGTCTTTGTCCACAGAGAAAACGCTTCATTCTTTTTGACACGCAGGGCGCTAAAAGCCCTGGCGACCAGAGTCCTGGGATTGACTGGAGAGATGGATACTGCTAAGTACTGTACGTATTCTACAGGCTCAGGGCTGTAGTCTAGTAGTCTTTGATGGCAGAAAACAGAAAAAAAGGCCGGACCCGGTTGTGGGAGACCGAAAGGGTGGAGAAAATTTGGCTCTTTTGGAGGGAGATCTGACGACTCAAATGGCGGGTTCTCCACTTATTGTTTGTTGTCAACCGCTCGAATCATCCCGCCATCAATGATCAGCATTTCGCTCGACGAGGCGCAATTCTGGTGCCAATCAGAGTTGACCGTGCATCCCGTTTGCTACTAGTACTAAGTAGATTTTTTTTTGGCTGCTCCCTCCCCCCCCCCAGCAACTTGACAAGACTGCACGGAGCGACAATGCCAAGGATAAGTCAACGGTCATAGGTTGCAAACCGAGAGACTTTTAACGCAGCACATACGTATAGTACACTCTCGCGGACCTTGCGAAGAGAAAGAGGAACTGGAAGAAGGGAATCACCGAGGCTTGATCTGCATGGGCTAGGCAGAATGTGGACGGTACATGGGCGCGCAACTGAACCAACTTGACTCACAGACTCCTTCATAGAAAGGATTAAGGCTCACTCTTGACGCATCCCGCCGCTTTAGGAAAGCAACATAAGAGCGCAGAGACAGACGGACGGCATAATAATAATGGCTTTGACTTCTATACTTCCCCGTCGTCATCATGTCGCTGTGAAGGTTTGCCATACTGTCCAGTAGTACTCTTCTTTCTGTACGCCGACTGACTCCGTCCGTTATCAGACCAGAAAAAAAGAGAGCTTGATAAGCGGCTATCGCGCTGGCGGGAGAAGTATACATCACAAGCCGTCGCTGCGATTCTGCCATGCTTGAGGATGGCAGAAATCTTGTTTGAGGGGCGACTTCCTGCAAGCTACTCGAGTAGCTTCAGCTGCACAGCAACGAGGGAGACGGAACGAAGAGAAGCAACCAGAAGGTTGAAAAAGCAAGATGCTTGGAACAACCGGTGATGGTCTGATGCGACTGCAGATTGGTATCATCTGTTTTTTTTTTTTTTTACCAGCACGCGAATGTAGCACCCGATCCCCCCAAGACCAACCTTTGGATGCAATGATCAATAATAGCCTTTTCATACCGTGGCTGAACCTGTACAGCCCAGGAAGGGAGCTTTTAGCCTGCAGCACCCATTGATCAGGGAGCCCATTCGTTGTTCGGTCATCATCCTGCCACTGATATCGCGCACCAATGACCGGTGCCAGAGGGAAAGGTTCGAACTATCGCCATATCACTAGTTTGCATTATTGCTGACCATCCTGACCGGTAGACACCTCCGAGGAGCCCATCGATCGCACTCCTTCCGAATTATTTGCTATTTTGGGGCAGGAAATTTCCCGTAATTTTTTCTACCCCGCATTTCTTGACCGTGCCCGGGATATTGTGATCGATATCATACAAACAAACATACAGTAACGCCCATGCGGCTCAGCTCAGACCCTGCTGCACCTTTCCCTGTCGCACTGATATTGAAATGCCGACCGATGGCAACATTGAGATCCGGGCGGCTATTGGAAGGGAGTGACGGGATCGTATCCGGGGGGCCGGGGGGTGGCAGTAGACTACAGCTAGGCTGAGGGCTGAGTGTACATACAGTCAGTCAGTCCACTCACTCGGCTGAACCTGTGAATAAAGCACGGGTCGATCGCTGTGCAGCTGAGACCCACGAACCCTCTCTCCTCTTCTCAGCTCAACCGAGTCAACTCAGCTCAGCCGATGCATGTGCCACACCTCCTCATAAAGTACTGTACAGTACCTGCTACATGGAGGGTGGGATCGACTTACATATGATCTGGGGACAACCATTTCAACCAATGTATTGACCTGTTAGAAGCCGTTGGGACATGTACAGGGTGCAATCACCCGAGTCATGCCTACAGCCTTCCGCGTGTTCCTCAGACATGTGCGTGCGCAATAAGGGGGAGGGGAGACCGTACGGGAAACACATTCCTTTCAACTGCTGCCCGGATTTCACACTTCCCTTGGTTATGTAAGTATAAGTCTGGAGTGAGGTGAGCCCCGCGGTCGGATGATCATGGGGCATTCAGGCAGTGATTTACAAGCTTCCCTCGTCTGCACCGTCGATCTATCGGTGACACAGACCCATCGGATTACAAATGACGAGGAAGGGATGTGCAAGTTGAGTTTTTCTGATAAGCTTCAAGCCTCCAGGGAGGGACAAGCGATGCGACAGCATCCAGGAAGGGAGGACATAGGTGTATAAGCCCGGTGGAAGGTAATCTGTGTGTCACGCTGCAAAAAGCAAAGTGATAGAGCAGATGTTTGATTGTCGCCTCCGCTGCACTCTCTATTAGTTTCAGCTTCGCCAAGGACTCAACTTGCGAGGGCATTTGAGTGCGTATTGCAGCATGATGGTTAGACGGTGGAGGAGGAGGAGGAGGAGGAGGAGGAGCTCAGGATTCGTGTTCTTTGCGGAGGAACTTGTGGCGTCTTAGACCTTTGCTTCAGTACCAGTAGCCACATACTGAGAGTCTGTGCATAGCTGATAACCGACCATGAAGTCTCATCGCTGTTGTTACTATATGTACTACTTAATGCAACGGGCTAGACTCGGGACCCATGGTTCGGTGCCGATTCGGGCGGGCCTGCAGGGTACGAAATACTGTACGGAGCACTCAAGCCACATTCTTCCTAGCGGAGTTTGGTCTGTGGCGCATGAATCCCAGAAAAGGGGCGGTGCTGGGCACTGCATGGAACGGAGGTCACTGACGTCGGTTCCTTAGTGCGTCACTCCCTGATTTCCCCCCTCCCCTCTCTCTCTCCCGGGAAATCCAGCCAATGCCACCTCCTCCGTTCGATCTTCCATCATTTCTCCCCAACATGCATTATCGTCAACCATGAATGGAGCAGAAAAGTCTCCAGCGACCGAGATCTATGATCCCAGCGCCATCCCCGACTACGACCACGACTTCATCAACCCCGATGATCTGCGACAGTTCGAGAACGCCCTGACCGACCAGGGGGCCTCACCATTGGTGGCGCTCAACGACTGGCGGCCGATCTACCAACGAGTCAAGAAGGGCCGCAGCAGCCGTCGCAAAGGGCCGCGGCGCACCAAGGATGAAACGCGGGAAGGGGTTCTCTACACATTCCTGAAGTGGCCGTTCCTGCTCATCGTCTTTGGCTGGATCACCGCCCTGGCCATCGCTTACGCCTTCACGCGCATCTACATCGTGCTGTACGAGCACTGGATCTCGTGGCGGGGCACGCGGCAACGGCTCCGGAGGCAGCTCCATGCGCAGACCAACTACCGCGACTGGCTGAAGGCCGCCCAGGCGCTCGATGACTACCTCGGCAACCAGCGATGGAAGGAGATCGACGAATATGCCTACTACGACCACCTCACCATCAATAACCTAGTGAAGCAGCTGCGCAAGGCGAGGAGAGAGGCGGAGCGCGAGATGCACGACAAGGCTGGTGGAGCGGGGGAGACGCCGGCGGCGGAGGAGCTGTGCACGCTGCTGGAAGCGTGCGTGAAAAACAACTTCGCCGGGGTGGAGAACCCTCGGCTCTACAGCGAGGCTTATTCGGGGACGAAGAACCTGGTACAGACGTACATGGACGAGCTGCATGCGTGTATACAGGTGGTGTCGGAGTCCAAGATGATCAGCACCGAAGAGAAGATCCGCCATTTCAAGCACCTGGACACCAACTTTGGACGGACCGCGCTGTGTCTTTCTGGCGGCGCTACCTTCGCTTACTACCACTTCGGGATTGTGCGAGCGCTCCTGGACAACGAGATTCTGCCGGAGATCATCACGGGAACTTCAGGAGGAGCGCTGGTTGCGGCTTTGGTTGCTACCCGGACCGACGAGGAACTTAAACAGCTGCTGGTACCTGCGCTGGCGCACCGGATCCAGGCCTGTCACGAGAGCTTCCCGCAATGGTTCATGCGCTGGTGGAGGACAGGAGCTCGGTTCGACACTCTGGAGTGGGCTCGTCAGTGTAGCTGGTTCTGTAGGGGCTCGATGACTTTCCGGGAGGCCTATGAACGGACAGGACGTATCTTAAATGTTTCGTGCGTTCCATCGGACCCTCACTCACCCACTATCTTAGCCAACTACCTCACCTCGCCGGATTGTGTTATCTGGAGCGCTGTTCTGGCATCCGCGGCCGTCCCCGGCATCTTGAACCCTGTGGTACTAATGACCAAGAAACGTGACGGCACACTGGCGCCTTATTCGTTTGGACACAAATGGAAAGATGGCAGCTTGCGGACCGATATCCCCATCAAAGCATTGAATCTGCATTTTAACGTCAACTTCACCATTGTTTCGCAGGTGAGACTTACGTTCCCCACGACCCAACGACAGACACTAACGCACTGGACTTGTACACAGGTCAATCCCCATATCAACCTCTTCTTCTTCAGCTCTCGAGGGTCAGTCGGCCGACCGGTCACCCATCGCAAAGGTCGCGGCTGGCGTGGGGGGTTCCTGGGCTCCGCGATTGAACAATACATCAAGCTGGACATGAACAAGTGGCTGCGCGTCCTACGACATCTCGAGCTCCTCCCGCGACCACTGGGCCAGGACTGGAGCGAGATCTGGCTGCAGAAGTTCAGCGGCACGGTCACCATCTGGCCCAAGACCATCCCCTCGGATTTCTGGCACATCCTCTCCGACCCGGACCCCGAGCGTCTGGCGCGCATGCTGCGGGTCGGCCAGCAGAGCGCCTTCCCCAAGATCCAATTCATCAAGAACCGACTGAAGATCGAGATCGCCGTCGTCAAGGGGCTACAGCAGTTCACGCAGGCCGGCGGTCGAGGCGTCTCGCCGGCGCCGCCGCGCTGGCGGCAGAACGGTGGCAGCAGCAGCAGCCCAATGGATCCCTTATCTCAGCGGCTGGACCACACCCTCCCCGAAAGACAGACCGAGGAGACGCAGTACCTAGTGGATACGTCGCACTCGGACCTCTCATCCGCGGAGGAATCCTCCTCGCACGCCCCGTCCCGACTGCGGCTGCGGGTCCCGGAGCCCCGACGGGGTAGTTCGGGGAGCAACATCTTCGAAGAGATGCGACGCCAATCGGCCGTGTTCTTCGACGATGTGGATATGTATGGTGAGGAGGATGCACTCCGAGGAAGATAGATTTGCTGGACGTGTTGCCCGTTTCCCCGGTCATCTTGTCAACTTACAACATGTGATTTCTAGTGCCCTGTGTCTCATTTAGCCTTGCTTATCATCTGGTGGAGATTTTGGTTATCATGCCCATTTCCCATTTGCCCTGTCCCTGTCCTTGTCCCTGCCCTTGGTCCTTGGATCCATATTCACCATATAGTTATTTGGCGCTTTTTCCTTTTCTTTTCTTTTCTTTTCTTTTCTTTTCTTTTTTTTTTTTACAATTAGCTCAAGACCCTAGAAATTCTGTATATTACTTTCCACACCGAAATCACATCACCCTTATCTTATAAAACACTCCCAAAAAAAAAAACCGAAGATACCAGAAATTACCTCGATTACTCGAACGGACCCAAGTACCTAGTACCCCGTACCTCGAACCAATGCCCTTACCTCATCTATCGAGAGCGATCTTCTCATTAACATCCAGGTTAAGCTGGTATTTATTGGATAATCACTTCCATCCAATAACTAAAATACATCCCATATTTCTTGATGCATAATGCTCAGCTATATACCATACGGTCAATCCCCGTGGAACTTAAACTTAATACTGAGTAGTATGAGGATGAGGATGAGGTAGATCGACCCCCCCGAAGGTAACCCCATCTAACTACTGTACGGTGACTATATCCCAGCATCGACGCATAGCCAAATCCTCAATAATGACATCCAAATATGAGGGTAACCCAATCGAAGACAACCGTACCCGCGGATCCCTCCTCGTCCGTCCCTAGGGAAAGGGATATTGCGGGGTAGATTGAGATTTCGATAACAGTCAATGAAGATTGAGTCTAATGTCCAGTGTAAAGTTCGCCATCAGTTCCCTGTCTACCCTGCTAACACTTAACCCCAAATCGAAAAGTAATCTACAGCGGGAAAGGAAAGGAAAGGAAAGGAAAAGCACGGAGAAGAAGATGATCATGACGTCTAACGAGGCCGATCGAAACGCCGGGGTGGAGGGGGAAGTAGGTATACCGAGCGAACCTTCCTCGCGGGGGTGGCGATATTGCTCCAGGCATCCTGACAAGGATCTCTGGGCTTTCGGAGACCAGTTCTGGGCTGGGGTTGTTGACTGGTTGGTTACGGGATGTTTTAATTTGAATAAGTGGTATGATATCGGTTGAGTTGCGTTATTGGATGCGGATTAGGTTGGCATTAAGGTTGTTTGGGAGGGTTGCCCAAGTGTACAGTACTTATTAGCATAACTTGGAGATGGATGGGATATGCAAGTGCTGTAGTAGATGTGGTTGCAGTTTCGCAGGTTGATTCAAACCTGACTCGGTCCAGTTAAGCTGTTTCCGACTGAGACTATGTTCTGCCGAAAATCATGGTCGAACCCTCGACAGCGTGATGGCGTAGTGTAACGTTGGGCCGCTCGACTGGAACTCACTACGGACGACGTTATCCGACTGAGATAATCAAAACCTTATCCTCGACTACCCTGTTTGACAGTTGTCGGGTGGGGAGATAGCATATCATCTATAAGATCGCCCAGAGGTGCATGCCAAGCAGAGCGTAGGTCCCCCTTTTTCATCGTGTCAGAAAGCCTTGCTTGCTCCAAGTTGTGTTTTAGATTGAACATGACTTCATGAAATTCCACAGACACGATGCATGGAGCCCCGCCTCCGATCCGTCATCCTAAATAACCAACCATTGGGCAGTGACCTGCTGCGCAGATCGGATATCGCCGCCAAGAGCGTAAATGCTCTGCAATGCCACCGCGGCTTCCCGCGAAAAGTCCTCCACAAATGGAGCCGGTTCATCGACTCCCGCGCTAGCATCGGCCATGACAACACCGCTGCCGTCTATCAACCCCGTGCTCTGTCGCGAAGCAGGTTTGGACTGCGCTTGAATCTGCGTGCTTATGTCGAGCACGCGCTGGTACCCTTCGGCCGCTAGATGCGCGAGCCCAAGCGTGTGCCAGACGCGGGCAAAATTGAATTCCATCTCCTGGCGCTCGGATAGCAAGGTTCCCGGACGTTCGCGGACACGTCGGTACTCCTGCATAAAAGATAGTCCCTGCATGATGAGGTAGTGTCGGTTCTCGGATTGCCGTTTCAAGGACTGGTGGATGTAACAGAGGGCGATTGACAGCAGGACCACGGGATTCTGGTCATCCAGCGCGTAGGCGCGAAAGAAATAGTTCAGAGCCGGATAGAAACTGTTACCCGAGTACAAAATATGCCCGTACAATACTATCAGAGCAATATCCATTTCCTCGGCGGAGATGGCTTCTCCTGTGATCTCGTCACGGGTCGACAAAGAGGCGCGCTCCTGGTAGATCGACTCTCGCGGCCTGTTCGGTCGGGCTCCCGCGTTGCTTTCGGGAAGGGTGAAGTCCATCGCCTTGATTTGACGCAGCATGAACTTCATATTTGGAGAGGAATGGAAGAGGGACCGCTGGGGGTCGCCGATGAGACGGCTTAGCATGGCAAACAGGCGATAGGTGTCTGTCACGAATTGGTATTCTTTGATGAACCAACGCGCCTCGTTCGTGAGGGTTTCTTCATCCTGCATGCGAAGTGCGCAAGCTGAAGATTTAGTTAGTGTTGAGTCGAGAACGAGTTCCAGGTCTACTTACTAAACCAACAGACATGGATCATGCGGGTACTGGGCTTGGAATGGTACCAGACGCTCGCATCTGCGGCGGCTGCAAGCGTGTCATACGCTTCGTCAGACTCATCTTGTGCCGCCACATAGAGGGCATACTGGAGAAATAGATCAAGCCACGCCTCGAAGCTGATCCCATGGTAATCAGTAGGAATAGTACCCTGCAGGGGCTCTTCCGTGATGTTTCCTAGGGACATGTCAGTTTGACAGCACCGAGAATCGGTGGGCTGGGATCGTACCTAGCGACTCATGAAGACGAGCTGCCATTTCTTCCATCTCCTCGATGAGGGTCCGGCCCTTGCCCTTCTTCCTCTGTGCCTCTCGCGAATACCCTAAGAAGGTCATGTGGCGTTGGAGCGGATAGAAGATTCGGTTGGAGCGGAACTCGCGTAAAAGCGCATCGGCGATGTCCAGCCAATCTTCCATGGCTTCGTCATTTCCACCTTTCACTGCTTCATGCAACTGGAGCAGCTTGCCGTACAGGAAGTGCACGTTACTTCTCCTCTGCCCTTCATCGGGCTCGGCCTGCTTTCTGCTCACAACTGGTGCGGCCGGGGTGGTGAGAACGGCGGCCGGCGGCATTTCAGGAGAGGGAGATTCTGGCACGACCGGGGCGACACCTGCCTCCGCTAGGCGAAACTCCATCGCTAGCTGCTCCAGTCTCGTGTCTTTCCGTCGTCTATGGCTCCGAGTTTCCTGCCTTCCAAGAAGAACTGCTTCATTGACAAACTTTAAAGCCTGCTCGTTCATTCCGATCTCTTCATACAGTCGTGCAAGCTGGACCCTGGAGTCAATGTGTTGCGCGTCATACTCTGCCACTGTGAGATAGCAGTTTTCTGCATCTTCAAGCTTGCCCAGTAGCCGGTAGCAATCACCGACCGCCATGAAGAAGCTGGCGTCTGCATACTCATTTGTCTGTTGCAACGGTGTATAGAATCTCAGCGCCTCTTGGAGCAACCCAACTTCCTTGAGAGCATCGGCAACCTCGCGGAACAAATCACCGTAGTCGTATAGTCGAGCGTCCTCCGAGGTGTCATCTGGTTCCAGCCATTCGAAGTGTTGTAACGCCTCATCTTTGTGGTCGTATCCCATTTTGAGTCGGAAAAGACCGAGCTTTATCCGGAGTTCCAGCGGCAGCCCCAATCCATACGAATCGCGATGCCATCGTCGCGGGATGTATCCATCCGTCTTAATTCGTCGAGGAGAATCATCCGCGTCCCATTCGCGGTCGTCATCGTGGAAATCTTTCCACATTGTGTCATGATTCCGGCCTAGCAGCCATCTAGAGAGGGTCTTGGTGGCCTTCAATCCCTCGAACGGACGGCCCACAAGGCTGTGCAATTCAGCATAAATGTTGATGTCCGACCAGGAGAAATCGGGAACATCCTGTGGCTCGTAAGTCAGGATATAATCAACACTTCTCGACCATATATCCACCGCCTTATGGGCCTCCTGGGTATCAATTAATGTCTCTGCGAGGTGTCGCAGTGCTCTCGCGTCGTTTGGCCGCTCTCGCAAAATACGTTCGTATTCGGTCGTAGCTTTTCCATTGTGGTTGAGCTCCCTGTAGATGGCAGCTCGCTGAAATCTGACATTGTAGTTTTGTGGCTGGATATCGAGCACTCGACTGTAACAATAGACAACGTCGTTGAGGGCGCTTGTGCGATCCTCCCCGCTGCGGTCTAGGATCATTCTGGCTACTTTGGTCCATACTCCCGGGTCCTTTGGTCGCGTGTGTGCACCGTTGAACAACGCCGTCAGCGCTTTGTCGGGCTCACCTTGAGCCAAGAAGATTTCGGAGAGAAGTGAATGCGCGGCAAACATTTCCGGGTTGATCTGAATGGCTTGCTTCACCTTTACAATGGCACGGTCATAGTCACCATCAATAAAGGCCGAGGTGGCCTCGGAGTGCAGGATCTTGAATTCCGGGCTTGGTTCCAATGGCTTGCGAGGGCCTCGTTTGACACCTTTCATGCCTCGGGCTCCATAGCGGCCACTGAAGGGGCCTCCCTTGCGGCGGCGACGACGACGGTGCGCGAGCGAATCGTTATCGTCTCCTTCCTCTGGCGGGGCTTCATATTCTTCCTCATCACTGCTGTCTGTCAGGATCGGCTATAGAGAAGGATTAAGTCTTGCTTACGTCTCTTCCTCTGAGGATAAGGAGTAAAGAGAGTCCGAAGAGGCATCCACTTCGGGATAATTGCCTACATCCTCGTCGTCGAGTTGATCGTCTGCTGGTTGTGTGGAACCACCGGTAAACAAGCCTCTGTATAGACGAGGATCCAGTAAGTGGTCGATGGAGGACTCTGCCTGAGCCGGGGGCTGATCGCCCTGCCATGGGTAGTGCATTGTCTGGTTGACAGCCGGATAGGCGTACTCCTCGGGAGAAATCCCGTGCTCCGGGTAAGTAAAGTCGGGATAGTCCATGGTATTGGACGATTGTTCTACTGCTTGATAAGGTTTGTGCAGAGTGCTTTGAATGTGTGGCTTTGAGCCTTGCGGGGACAACAAGTCATGCAGGATTGACGGTCTGGATCCTCGGAAGTGGTTCTGCGGCCAGACAGGGATCGTCAGCTTGCTGCACCCCCGCGACACGATAATAATAGTCTAAGACTGGAAGCGGTCGCAGTGGCGTGGTCTCAAGGATCATGTAGCGGAGTTCAGACTATGGAACCAAGGGTGAACTGAACCATCATTGGGTGACACTGAGATGCGGCGCTTGGGGAGGGGATCAAGAAAAAAGGCTGGTCAAAGAAGACAAGCACTGTGAAAATGGAAGGGGTTTGGAGAGGAGAGAGGGTGTGTGGACTGTGGATGGTCAGATGGCGTTGCAAAAGGTGTGTCTAATCCATGTTTAGAAAGATTCGAGAAATCCCAAGCGTGCCAGGATCAAAGAAAAAGGAATGTTTTTTTTTTGTTTATCATGGTTCCGATAATCATAAGGATAGTGATAAGAGGCAAGACATAAGAACGAAAACAATGAAGGACAATAATAACTTAAGACGAGACTGACATTAAGTTAAGCGGCTAGACCAGTCGGTTTAGAGAGGACAGGAGGTAGTTACGGATTCTGGCGGGAGGTTTCAGGTTTCAGGGCATTTAGCTTGTTCGCAAGGACTGGAAGTCGATATAGGTCGATATAGAAGCAGGAATAGTATGCTTTGCTTCTGGATCAAATAGTGATGCTGGTTGGCTGAAAAGAAGAAGGGCGAGGTGAGTGAAGTGAGGATGAATGGTGGATGGCCAACTCCGTCCAGTGACTTTTTTTCTGCCCGTTTGTACTTTTTGACGCTCCTTCCTTAGAGCTGCAAGCAGCCCCTCTGCTATTATTCTATTCTCAAGCCCTCTTCGTCTTCTCTTTTTCTTTCCCTCCCTTCTCTCCTCTTCCTACTCGACGGCCCCCCCCCCCCCCCCCCCCCTCTCACTACTATCGGTTTCTTTTTATATCTACTTTCATTTTCCCTTATTTTCTCTTCCCTTTGATGCTTCAGGGTCTTTTACTTGCTTGTTGTGTTTGACACACTATTGCAATTACATCAAAAAAAAACATTCCTGACATCCTTTCGTTTGAAAAGAATAAAAAAAGTGCTACGAAAAAGAAAAGAAAAAGAGAAGGGGAAAAAAAAAGAACGAAGGAGTGGTTGTTGAGGGAAAACCCACAAGTGAAAAACTAATCAAGATCCGGAAAGTCTCGCCGCTTTGTCCAACCGACGCTGGCTTCTCTGGCCTTGTTTCGCTCTCTCTCTCTCTCTCCGTCTGACTGAGCCTCTTTCTCTCTCTCACTCTCACTCTCTTGTTTTCATCTTCCGATCAATTTCTCCCCCTCCCTCCCTCCCCCCCCCACCGGTCGACCCTATCTCGTCCTTCCCCCCCCCTCCTCTTCGACCCCCCTCTCACTCTCACTCCGACACCCTTGTTGATGCTCCTACGATTCGATTGATTTTTTCTACCCCTAAGAATTCGAATCGGGTAGTGCAGCCACTGGACTGGTCTGTGCATCCCTAAATCGTTTCTCTGTCCAGAACTACGCCGTTGGCTTTATCACGCTTCCACCAAGGGTCTCCATCCTTAGTGAGATCAGTCATTTCGCTCCCTCCTTGTCGACTGCTGCCCTCAAGTACCGGCACAGGGTGAAATTGCTTGGGACAAAGGAAGCCAAAAACCAAAAAAAGGACTCGATAAAAAGTTCGAAACATTCGTCGGTTTTACGCAAACTCAGCAGGTGCTGCAGGTGTTTTGCAGTAATATTCTTCTTTCTGTATCTATTATCCGCCCGGACCTCGCGAAAAAAAAAACCCCAGGGAGATCCTAGCATCTCTTCTCTGACCTCGACCTTCCTTATTACCGAGACAACCACCACTCATTGCTCACTTATGGCCAGCCACATCATCGGCAACCGCAACAGCACTCCGGAAGCTTCCAAGTCTAGCCTTCGCCCGCCTTCCTCTTCTCGAAATCTCGGGACGCACCAGTTGCGAGCATCGGCCGATATGTCGGGCTTCCCCTCCCCGCTGTCCTCCCGCAGCATCCGTCCTTCGTCCGAGGTTTTCTTCAACCAGCAGTCGCAAAACTCGAATAACACCGAGGATCCCCTAGACCGCGCGGCTCAGCAATGGCTGGCGGACATTGACCAGTACGAGACCACGCTGGAGGAAATGGCCGCGGCTACCTTGGATCAGGATTTTAAGGACGAGCTTAGTGCCATCGAACAATGGTTCCGCGTGCTCAGTGAGGCGGAAAGGACCGCTGCGCTTTATGCTCTGCTACAGCAGACCACCCAGGTGCAGATTCGTTTCTTCATCCAGGTTCTGCAGCAGATGGCTAAGAGCCACCCCATGTCGGGCTTATTGTCCCCGGCCAACTTCGGAGAAAAAGGTATGTCTGTTTCGCACAGTATGGGTACAATGACTAATTCGTGACGTTCGCGACAGACGCTATGTCCAACCGACTCAACGATGCCATGGCCAAGTTGAACGTGGACAGCTCTCGAAACTCTCTGGGCCGTCCACCCCCCTCCCCGGGCGCTAAGCGCAACTCCGGACTCGATTCCTCGACCATCAACGCCATGTTCCCTGACGCGGCGGCCGCAATTGCCAAGAAAAAGGCCGAGTTCACTCAGCAGACAGGCAATGCGCCTCCCTCCAACCGGAACAGCGCTGTCTTCGGGGACCGCACTTCCTTCGTTGCGCCAACCATCTCAGCCCCGGACAACACCACCGACAACCTGGGCCAGCCCCCCGTCTCCCCCTGGGTGCAGCGCGGCTCAGAACCTCAGCCTCCCATTGCTCGACCCAAGTCCTCCTCGGGCCAGCAGCCGATGGGGCAATTCAGCCAGAACCCCTCCAGCCTGCGTTCACCCTTACCCACCCAGACGGCCACGATCCCCGCTCCGGAGATCGATGCTCCTCTGCTCTCGCCTTACAATGTTGGAAATGCCAGCTGGGCTTCCATGACCAACACCCCGATGACGGCTACATTCGGGCAACAGGCGCAGCACCCTCCGCAGAATTCGCAGGCCGATATGGTGGCTAACGCTACAGCGATGAAATTGGCGGCTCTGTCGACCGTGAACAATCGGATCGCACTCGACGATGCTCGCAAGTACCGCCGTGCCCGCTCGAACGATGGCCAGGGCAAGAACTCGGTCAGCCACCTGGGACCCCAGCCTCTGGCCAGCCCAGGACTTCCCACTCCCAACCAGCTCATGGCCAACCAGTTGTTGAATGCTCAGCAGCTGGCCGCTCTGCAGGCGCAACAGCACGCTGCTATGGCTGGTCGTCGTTCCCGCCCGACATCGCCCGGGATCGCCATGCAGGGCGGTGGCTTGGGACACCTGAACTTCACTTCCCCACAGAACAACGGGTTTCTCGCTGCGTACGACCCCAACAACCCGCTCATGGGTAATGGGCTGAGCGCGCTAGGCATGGGACAGTTTGGGCTGGGCGGCCATGAAGGCTACCTCTCGGACCACTCGGAGGTGGCTCGTGGTCGGTCGCCGCGCGGACGTCGGGGCAGCTCGAAACCGCCAGAGGACCCCACGGACCCCGCTCTGCTGAAGGATATTCCCAGCTGGCTGAGATCGCTCCGGTTGCACAAGTACACTGAGAACCTGAAGGACCTTAAGTGGACGGAGCTGGTTGAACTGAGCGACAAGGCTCTGGAAGAGCGTGGCGTGAATGCTCTGGGTGCTCGCAACAAGATGTTGAAGGTGAGTTTAGTCTGCAACATGATAGGATCACCCAACGAGCAGTGTAGCTGACCATATGAAACAGGTGTTTGAGCAAGTGCGCGAAGCCAAGGCCGACGGCAAGCTCGACAACATCGCTTGAACGAAACACAGGGATTGCATCCGGCAATCCCCCATTCCACTCATTCATTCATTCTTGAACTGAACGACGTTTTCTGCTTACATTCTCTCTATCGCATTAATTGACCTAGATTGGCTTTGGGCATAAGTGGCAGGATCCGAAATGAACCTATGAGCGATCTCATATCGGCATGAATCTTTGGGAGGAAGTTGTCTAGTTATGGAACATGAGGAGCTGTTTCCCAGTTGGTTTTTTTTCTTCTTGCTGTATTTTCCATGTTGATGCAGACATGCTTGGGGCTGTGTCTCAAGGGTGTCGATGTTATGACGGATAGGATGTTAATGTGATAATTGGACAAAGGAAATTGACTGGATTTGGGGTGTAGATAATATTTGAATGAATGAATTGTATAGTATGGTGCTTGGTTTGTTGCTGTATAGAATGTAGCTTGTATCGGCGAATCGCTCTTGTGGTGAGCTAGCTATCAGCTCAGCGGGGAGAAGCGGCAGAATCCCCACTCGACCTTAGCTTTGGTAACCATCACCACCACCACCCTCATCACCTCAATCCACCCACCAAGCCTTTTCCACCAGAATTCCGAATTCTTCCACCCCCCCACAAGGGGAAGATCTATCTCAAAATGCCCCCCACAAAACAAGAACTCTCCCTCCTCATCAACCCCCTAGTCCCGGAGTCCCTCGCCCACAACAACCGGGTAAGCCAGCCCAGCCCATCCCATCCCACCCCAAACCCAACCCTGACTCCGCCTCCCGCCGCTTCCAATCCCATGCTAACAAGACACCGGGAAAAATAGGTCCTCACCTCCCTCCACAGCCTAACTGCCTTCCTCCTCGGCCTGACCGCCGGCATCCTCTCGCTGCAGTCGGCCACGGGCTTCGCCTTCTACTTCCTCGGCACGGTGGGCGTGTCCGCGCTGTTCCACGCGCTGGTGCTGTACCGGTCGCAGGGGCTGGGGGCCGGGATGTACTTTGCCGGGGCGCAGGGGGAGGTGTCTGGGATGGATGAGCGGGGGATCGTCCGGGGGGAGGCCGCCGGTGCTGCTGGTGCTGCGGCGGGCCGGAAAGCGCCGACGACGAAGATGGTGCGGCGGGCGGCGTGGCGGGATGTTTGGTTTGGAGGTGGGGTGCTCGGTGAGGCGTTGTCGGGGTTTGTGTTGGGATGGGCGGGTGTTGGTGGGGTTTTGCGGTGATTTTTGGATCTCTAAGGGGATGATGGGGAGAGGAGAGGTGGGGAGGACGCTGCATTTACGCTGATTAGGTGTTGGTGGTTATGGGCAGGGTTGAAAGTGTGAAGGTATTGAAGGTATCTAATTCATGGGTGCAGTTCGGCTCTATCATGCTTGTATGTGCGATGTAAGTTGCTCGGCGGGGTTTGATGTAGGCTTGCTGGGCTGTTTGTAGGACTTGAGATTGCCCTGCGTGGCTATGAGTATGCAGTGTACGCTTCCTGGGGTCAATGAAGGAATGGACTCACCGTGGCTAATGCCCATAGATAGGGCTCGTGGATCACCTCGCTCCGCGCTTCTCCCCCATCCGCGCCCGCCACATTCACCCATACGTTTCCCATGATCAACCCCGTCAGCAAGCTCACGCCCATGATCGGGAGAATCGCGATGAACGCCCACATGATCGCGTCCTTCCCTGCGACCCGGATCGCCTCTTGTGCAGCAGCTGAGAGCCCATCCAGCATGGACAGGGGACTCTGGTCGTGGACGTTCAGCGTCGTGCCGCCGCCACCGCTGAGCCCCTGGACGGCTGCGGAGTGACCGAACTTGTTGTTGAACACGCTGGTCATGATAGTCAGGCCGATGGTGCCGCCGAACGGCAACGAGACCTGCATCAGGGACATGGCGGGGGCGAGCCTCTCGGGCCAGACACCCACGGTGTGCAGCGAGGAGGGGACCAGCCGTAGTCCGATGCCCGCTCCGGTGACGACCATCATGCCGCAGAGGAGACTGGTGTTCTCGGCGCTGATGGCGTAGGAGATTACCGCCAGCCCGAGGGTGCTGAGGACTGCACCCAAGGTGAGAGGGAAGAAGGTCTGTCGGGGGGAAATGTTGCACATGTATACGGCGGAGTAGACGCCTCCTGAATCACACTGTTAGTGCATTGATCAGCGGTGTTGAGCCGGGGAAGAGGCGCTGTACCTCCTAGACCCGGAATGTAGTATAGAAGCTCGAGTCCGGACTTCGACGTGGAGTATCCTGCCACGAGGATGTAGTAGATGCTGATGAAGTAGAAGATGGAGTATGACGCTAATGAAGTCAGTGACCACCACGATTTCACGAGCGAAGGATGTCAGGTTTACCTGCTCCCGTCGCGAAGTTCAGGATTGCCAGCCAGATCGTATCTCTCCGTTCAAAGAGACTGTAGGGCAACACTGCAACATGCCTTGGGAATATTCTGGCAAACAGTCTGCCAGGCTCGAGCAGATACTCGTACAGGAAAAATGCCACGAAACAGATTGAGCCCACGATCAACGGCGCCAGAACCTGAAATGACGACCACGAGTATGTCGCACCTCCCCAGGTAGTCGCCAGGATGATGAGGCCCACCCCAAAGATAAAGAGAATTGATCCTCCGAGATCCACTGTCACAAGAGCCGGAAGCACAGATGACCATCTGGAGCCCTTTTTGAACATGGACCCCTCGACAAGGTCGTGTCGTAGCAACGCATAGACCAGAATATGGCTCAGTACAGCAATCTTCCCATTCGATTAGCACACCTGCACTTCCAGTAACCGGGTCTGCGGGCTCACCGGAATTGGAACCACAAAACAGTATCTCCAGTTCGTCTTCTACACTGTCAGCAGCTGTTGCACCTCAGTGTGAATCCAAGAGACTCACTTGAGTTAGATACCTAACTCTCGGTGATTAGCAAAGCACGCCCAGAAGAGCAGAGAAAGAGAGAACATACCCTCCGACAATAGGACCCACCGCGTATCCCACACCTCCAACAAGCGTGAACAAAGACTTGTTCCGTGCGTTCTCCTTCAACGAGACCTTATCCGCCAGGATGATCATGATCAAATTCCCCAGCCCCGCGGATCCGGTGCCCTGCAACGCCCTGCCCAGCAGCAGCATGCCCCATGTCTGTGCCGCTGCGCACAGCACGCTCCCAATAAGCATGAGAAAGAGCGCCGTCTGCAATACCCAATGCCGCCCAAAGACGTCGGCTAACTGACCGAAGATCGGGATAAAGGTCGTCGATGTCAGGCTGAAGGCGGTGACGATCCAGTTCAGCTCATCGAATTGGTCTGTCGTTCATGATTAGAACTTGACTACTGATCTCCGAAACCTTGATGAGAGGGAATACTGACCAAAGTGCGACGCGATGACGGTGGTTGCAGTGGCCACGATAGTCAAGTCCAGGGTGGACAGGATGAACGGCAGCGAGAGACCGGCGATGAGCCTCAGTCGATACATGCGCCGCTGGCGCTTCTGCTCATGACAGATACTGCATTTCTCATTGAGCTCTGTAGGATTGAGTGCTTCAGCTGAGTAGGTGGTCGTTCTATGCGCCGAAGACTCGAGATCTTCATTGCCCGCAATAGCTGGCTTGTGATGGTGAACTTGTGAGCGATGCAGACAGGGCTGCTCTGGCGGAGGGGGAGTCGAGCCACGTCGTTTCTGACGAATGTACCTAGTGGCTGTAATGATCATTTCACACAATAGGTCCTCGTCAGGGTACTGGATGAGTGAAACAGTAGTTTCTGCATGTCGACTTGGAAGTGTTAAGGTAGGAAGCAGCACTTATATAGGCAGCCTGCGTCCTGCCTATACTGGCACGAAGCTGCCTGAAGCATTTCATCTCGATATAACTCCATACGGTCAGGATCGCGAGTGTGTACCAAGATTTGTGGCGATGCTGGAGACCTGAGCTCGATAGCTGGGCCAGTGCTGAATGTCCCGATTGGGCAAGTGTCACGGACGGCATCTGATTCACCCGCATGGCTTTCCAGATCCGGCAAGGGTTGCGAAAGGCTTAATCTCAGCCTCTTGGCGCCTGAATCTCTGGGCAGCCACTGTCTTACCCCCCAGGTCTTGTACCTGGGCCTCGACACAATCCCATCTCAGGATGATGACTGCACAGCCAATATTCCCCGCAGAGCGTCCGCCTCGTGTCAGCCACAGTCCAAGCCGCTCGACTGCACTCACAGTCGCAGGGGCTTTCCGGACTGACGCTGTGTCTAGCTGTCTAGCTGTTCAGATCACTTGACACCGTCAAGCGTGCGATGTACAATTTTGTCCTTCATCCACGCAGACCACCGCCTGACACATCTCGTTCTGATAACCAGGCAGTCGCAGGAATGAAACCACTCGACGACATCTACCTTGACGGTCAGCCCATGAAACTCACCGAATTTCTGCTACTGCACCACAGAACTGGAATCAACTCCTATGTCCCTTTTAAGAGCAACGGGCCAAAACAATCACCGACATCTCTAATATCGCCAGTGCGCTGCTCTGTTCCTTATCTTGCATGACAACGATTGCCTCCGGGCCTCCGTCGGCGTAGACTAGACAGCATAGCGACAGACGGTGCACCCAAACCCCGCATTATCAGCGTAGCACACGGCCACACCACACCAGGGAGCCAATGAACTAAACGCCTAGTCAGCTCCAGACCTGTCTGTCAGCATCCCATCCCAGGGCTCTGCCAAGTGAAACCAAAAGCCCATATACCCACAACGTAAACACGAAACAACCACACCAAGACATCCACTTTCCCCAAACATGCACACAAGCCAACCACCCCCCTCAGACCCAGCAGCCGCCGCCGCCGACGACGACGACGACGACGACGAGAACACCTGGACCCCGCTCCAACTCGCCGCAGCGCAAGGCGACCTACCGCTGGTGAAGCACCTCCTAACCCAGCCACCACCCCACAACGACCCCAACTCAGCGCCGCGGGGCTACTATGGCCAAACCGCGCTGCAAGCGGCCTCGCTAAGCGGCCACCTTGCCGTAGTCGAGACGCTCTTGGCCGCCGGCGCGGCCGTCGATCTTCCCGGCGGCAACAACGGGGGTCGGACGGCGCTCGTCCTGGCAGCGGGCGCGGGCCATCTCGCCATTGTGCGCCACCTGGTCGACGCGGCGGGCGCGGAGATCAACAGGCCACCCCACAAGTACAATGGGCGGACGGCGCTGCAGGCCGCGGCGGAGGGAGGCCATCTGGCGGTGCTGCGGTGGCTGCTGGCGCGCGGGGCGGACGTCAACACGCGGCCGGCCGGCAACCGCGGGCGCACGGCGCTGCAGGCCGCGGCAAGTGAGGGCCACGACGCGGTGGTGGAACTGCTCCTGCAGCATCCGTACAAGGTTGAGGTGAACGCCCCCGCGGTCCGGTATCAGGGGGTCACGGCGCTGCAGGGCGCAGCGTTGGCGGGACACCGCGCCACGGTACGGCGGCTGCTGGCCGCGGGCGCGGACGTGAATGCCCCCGGCGGCCAGTACAAGGGCTACACGGCGCTGGCCGCCGCGGCGGAAGGGGGCCATTTGCAGGTGGTGCGGTGGCTGCTGGATGCCGGGGCGGATGTGTCGATGCGATCTGGGAACAGGATGTGGACGGCCGCGCGGATAGCGGTGTCGCGAGGACACGGGGAGATCGCGCAGCTTTTGCGGCAGGTCGAGCAATCCAAGGTTGTAGGTGTGGATAGCTACTACGTTAATGAGTTTGAGGGCGGGTTGGTGAGATCGGGGTCAAGGTGGAGTCAATTAGCCTGTCGTCATTAAGCTTATCGGGCCAGGGACCAGTTTCTGTCCCTGGGTCCGCAGGGTCTATGTATATTTTTAGAATAAGTATGTTGTTGGCCGTCAAAGTATGCTGAATACTCGAAATACAGTATATCAGGTACGGCTCGGGCTTTACCAGGGTACAGCATCGTAAGCCACATTAGCTTCTGCAACATACACCCGAAATCGTACACAGAAGGAAAACTAAGAATCTTGTCAAAAATGTGCATTAGATCATTTTCCTCCACCCTCCATTAGTTTCATCTATATACAATCCAAGTGAATCAGGGGGTATAGCTTTGACCAAGAAACCGAAAGAACGATCACAATAAACCCGTATGTCCAAACAAATCGCTATCTTCAAGTCGAATGACAAAACGCCAATATATCATCCAAATAAGTATGTTCATGTCGAAAGAAAAGCTCCATCCAGGGAGTCTTCTTTTTTCTCCTTCTCTCTAGAAAAGGCTTCACTCATCCTCGGGTGGCGCGTTGGCCAGAGCACTCTCAAGAGCACTAGTCAAGTCGATGTGGAAGAAGGGCCGGTTGATGCCCTGCACCACGGCTACCTTGCGCCGGTTGCGGTACGCCTTGCTGTCGTTCAGGTCATGCTGCAACTTGTCCTCGGGAACACTGCTGATGTCTGAGCCTTCCTCAACACCGTGGGTCTCCCGCTCCGTCGTGTGACCGTCGTGCTTGAGGCCGTCCTCCTCATCACGCTTTTGCGCGACGTGCTGGGCGTGCTGGTTGTTCAGCAGTTCGGCGTGAGCGGCGGCGGACGACCGGCCTTCGATCTCGGCCACGCTGAAGATCGGCTTCCAGCGGTGGAATCCGTTATCGGAGTTGGGGGTCGGGAAGCCGAAGCCGGCGGCGGCCAGCGCCCGTTTGGTCCACCGGTTGTTGAGGTGAGCGAAATGCCACTGCACAGCGCGAGGGGAGGCGTAGAGGTCCAGTTGGTTGCGCACGTCGATCAAGTTCTGGATGGAGGTCACATCGACATTGTTAACCGAAGAGAAATCGAGAATGACGGCACGAAGCAGAGGCCGTTGCGAGCGCTGTTCCTCTTGAGCAGAGTTCTTGCGAGGGCCAGGGTCGTTCCAGGGGCGGTCGCCGCGCTGCTCGTAGGAGAAAGGAATCGTGCGTCGTGTCTCGCGGAAAATGGTCTGGACCAGGTAATCGGTGTAGTGGTTCGCGTTCGGGTAGTTGAAGCCTTCGGAGAACCGGTAGATGAAGATACCAGGGTAGGGCTGTTCCAACCCCACCTCGGGGTTGGAGCCATCAGCGTGGTTGAGGGGAAGGAAGATTGAGCGACGAGAACCCTCTTCATCACGATCAGAGGAGTTGGCGTTGTTACCCGAGCCATACTTGCCATCGCCTTGCACAAGATGATCACCGATCACTGAGTGAATGGTGACGCGGCCAAGGAACTGGCCACGGGCCTTGGCGACACGGAACAGGAGCACAGCCACGGAGACACAGATGGTGCAGTAAATGCCGTCCTCGATGGATGAGAAAACGGTGACGATAACACCAATGAAGAAGATGAGCGCATCGATAGGTGAGACGCGCCAGAATTGGTACACGGTGTTGGGAGGAGTGATCAGATCTCCGACGGCATGGATAATGACACCAGAAAGGGCAGCCTGTGGAATGTAGAAGAAGACGGCCGTCAGGGCGTAGATAGCAAGCAGCACAACGATAGCGGTGATCACACCGGCCAGTGGAGTCCGAACACCAGCCTTCGACTTGATGGCAGTGCGCGAGAAAGATCCAGTAGCAGGGTAAGCACCCAGGAAAGGACCCAGCAGGTTCGCGACACCAATAGCGACAAGTTCCTGAGACGGATCGATGGTGTAGTTGTTGACACGACCAAAGGACTTCGAGATAGCGATGTGTTCGATCAGGAGGACAATAACGCAGGCAGGGAGCTGGCTGGCGAAAACCGAAATGACTTCCGAGTCGACACGAGGAACACCAGCGTCTTTGAAACCTGTTGGCGTAAAAATCACCGTCAGTTCTAGAAACATCAACTGATGTCAGGCAGAGACATACCTCTTGGGACCTTGCCAATAACATTGAACATAGGGTCATCCTTGCGGTGCAGATTGACAGCAGCACTGATCATGGTGTAGAACAGAATCACAAAGACCGTACGTAAAGTCGACATGAAGAACCAAAGCTTGGCCTTCTGAGGGTATTTGCGAGCAAGGAAGTTGCAGGTGGAGCGAATAATGTACAGCATGGCGAGAGAGGTAACTCCCAGAGCAGCGTCGATACCAGCGGACGGCAGGTGCTTGAGCGAGTTGATGATGATCATGTACGTTGCATCGCGGGTTGAGAACGAGGCCGACTCGCCTAGCAAGTTCTTGACCTGGCCAGAGGCAATGTTGAGAGCCGAGCCCGTCATGAAGGCAGAAATGGCGGGCAATGGGATGAAATCCACGATAAATCCGAGGCGAAGCAATCCCAGAGCACAGACAATGCCACCACTAACAATAGCCAAGCACGATGCGACGACATGTCCCGGAATATTCGGATATTTGTCTTCAGCATCGAGGACGATGGTTCCGACCAGGGTAGACATAACGGCAACGGGCTAGATAAGTCATTGTTAGGCACATCGTGGTTTCAAATGCAATGCGGAGAAACATACACCGATGGTGATATCTTTTGAGGTTGCGAAGAACCAGTATAGCAAGACACCCATGAAAGACGAATAGAGACCATATTGAACCGGCAGTTCAGCCAGCTTGGCGTATGCCATTCCCTGGGGAACGACGACGGCGCCCACAGTAATACCTGAATGTCCCCGTTAGGCCCCGATAGTCATCGCATTTGAATGGGTGGCTTACCAGCAACCAAATCACCAACGAGCCATTGGGTGTTGTACCTCGTGATCCAGGACAGGAACGGGAATAGTCTGTAGAAGTATCGGCCTACATCGTGCCAGCTAGGAGTGATCTCCTTAAACCATTCGGCGGTCGTCGGTTCCTGCTCCAGGTAGGAATAGGTGTCGATCGTGCCGTAGGAAAAGGTAGATTCGCCTCTGGTGACCGGGTCTGCTTGAGCGCCCAGAGGATCTCGGTAGGCTTGCTTGATACCGAGACCCTTGGCCAACTGATGACCGACTTTGGTTGTGAAGTCTTTCGACATGTTCGTTGTGGTCGACTCGGGTGGCGATACCGGCGAGTTCTATGAAGTAGGGCTAAAAGTGCCCGGAACCACTAGACCACTAGGGTTATGTTGGGTGCAGCAGATAGGAACGCTTCACAGAAGTTAAAGAAGAAAAAGAAGGGAAAGGCTCCAATGTATATGAACCAGATCAACCTCCAAGATTATCAATCAAAGACCACAGCAGACTTGAGAGTGAGATAATATAGTCGTAGTAGTCCGTGGTGGAGGCGGGAACAAAGTGGGCTTAAAATGGGGATCGGAGAGCCAAGAAACGATGTCGTGATCGGGAGCTCCAAACGCGAAATATCAAAACTGCCCACCCGAACTGTCCAAGCTCGGGATCTAAACCGGACAATGGATGGACAAGACAAAGCTAAAGATCAAGCTAAATCAAGGGCCAAAGATGACAACCAGCACCTAGATCCTACTAATAGGCCTGGACTGGCTTCCAAGACTTCGCACTTCACCGATATATTGAATGGTTGTGTGGCTTGGGTGGCGCACCGCGGGGACTGGGACTATGCAACAACTATTTTGGAAGAGAACCAAGGGGCCGCGCGGAATGTCCACGGACAAGAGGGGAGGAAGCACGGATGGATATCTATAAATCCGGGAAACAAAAAGGGAGACTTGTGGCAGTTTTATCTGGATGGCGTCGTCAGAGAGAAGTGGGTGACACACGACTCTTCGTCGCCCGTGGAATTTGATGCAAGTCGATCATCACCACTACTAGCACAGGCCCCAAGAGGCAACCGGGCATGGGGACGGGGAGGCACTAGGATACACGGCGGCAGTAGACCAAGGACAAATTAACATCGTCCGACGTGGAAACCATCCAAACAGCAAGTCGAATACAGGGAACACGCAGGCGATGAAGGCAGCTGATCCACCCAGGGATCGCCCAAGGGCAAAGGAACAGAGGTAGGCGAGGGAGCCGTCTGGGAATTGCTGCAGGCCCCGAGGAGATCCTTCACCACATCTGCATCGTGCACGGCAGTAGTCTAGTCTAATCTAGAGAGGCACCAGGAGGGACAAGCTTGTCAGAAACCAAGCTGGCGTAAGAGAATCGGTTGAGTGGGTTCCTAGCCCGGCGAGGTTGCAGGGGGGTTGCAGGGAGGGTGCGTGTGGTCTGGAAGCGACGAAGATGACGATGAGCCGTGGAGCAGCAACGTTTCCGCCCACCGGCGGGGCCCATCCATGGCTAACCGTAGGCAACTTTATCCGCCCGGTAGTAGTACCGTAGATTCCATCTCGTGTAGATCTCTTGATAAATTATGACCCGGGTGAAAGGAGTCAGAGGACAGAAGTTGACGAATCTGGGTGAGACCACAAAACGACACCATGACGAGAGCAAAGCGATAGTGATGGAGAGGATGGAGTGGGATGGAGTGGAATGGAGAGTCGAAGTGGAAAAGTCTCCATCTGATAATTATTGCCAAGGCAGACCGCCCGCCGACCGAGGAGATTTTCACGGGGCCTTCACCAATCAGAGAAGACCCAAGGAGATGGCGACCCTCACTGCGGTGGACAGGCCAAAACCAATGGGAATTGCGGCAGAACACGCCATCGCAGGGGTTGATGGTGAAAGCCTTCCATCTTAGGGGAGGTCCACGTGTGGGTTCGCCATGACGAGTGACTGACTGAATTCATCTCTCGTGTTGCTGAGATAATTCCTGCAAATGTACTCTGTATAGTGATGGAGAGTTTGGTGGCTGTGGTCTCAATCTGTTTGCTTTTTACACTCCAGATAAGCACATGGCAACCTCTGGGGTCACCAGACCAGACTTGTTAACACACGAAGACAGTTCTCAACTTCTCCCAAACACCTCCTTCGCTTCGATTTACCGATTGGTCTTGGCTCGTGCGGAAGAGGTACGTACTTCCAGGAAGTACGTACGTACACCTACCCCTGTCGAGCCTCAGTCTGTGCTTTCGCTCGTCTGATTGACTAGGGCGGCTGCTGCTGCTGCTGCTGTTTCTGCTGCTGCTGCTGATGATCATTATTCTCGTTCGGTCCAAGAGCAAGCATCCTTCCCAATCTCTCTCGGAGAATGAGCCCGAAGAGGACATTCTCAGCTGCTAAGTACACTAACCAAAGTAACTTATACTACTTAGTAGGTAAGGAAGTACAGTACTAGGCACTATATGAAGCTGGGCAACCTCATGCTACTCCTCCAATAATCATTCAACTACCCTCACTCTTGCGCAATATTCATGCCAATCACACCATGTTCTGGTTCTCTTGACTGCTGCAGGGCCTTCTTAGCTGCTTCTACGCCCCAGTATTGCGCCATCAATCTTATCGTGGTGACATCCTGGCTATACCATCTACCGAGTGGTGACCACCTGCAGACACCAATCCATTGGACGGATTTCAGCTTCGCAGCGTGGCAGCCATGCAGCCATGGCTTGATATCTCCTTTTCGCAGGTCTTGGAGTCGCAAACGATCCACTTACGGACCTCGTATATCCAAACCACGCCCATCTCCTCGGATTTCTTAATTTAAGATCGAAGCTTTTTCTCTCCGACGGCCGCGCTTGCTCCACCATGGGAACCTGTCAAACGGCCAAGTCAAATTAAAAGTATAATCTCAATATGCAGCATCATTAACTATTGAGTAATATTTGCTGCGCCGTCCTGGTTGAATTCTCATGGCGGTATGTCCGCCACAACACTAATATCCAGGGGCCACTCTGGAAGGAACGGACTACTGCAGTTGCCACGATGAACAGACTAATAGAAAAGAATTAAATAAAAACAAAAAAAAAGAAAAAACACATATTTCCCCGATCTCGGACCATGTTTCAACACCAACATATATCGTATTCCTTCCCAATTAGTCTTTATTGTCTCGCGATCACGACATCCCAATCATCATACATCAATTCAAAGACTGAGAGCTCGCTTATATGGTCCCATGCAAACATGCGTTTTGAACAAACTTCGCGCGATCCCTACACTACCAATTACAGGAATATGCTAGCCAGGGGAGGTGGACTTCAATAAAGGCTATCGGACACGAGACATCTTCCCCTATTGAACACGCCAGAAGTCTCTATGTGCCCCCAGAACTATGGATGAGGTGCTGCATCGACGTCTAGGTGGTGTAGCAGCCAATACGGCCAGCTCCCGCAATTGCTTGGATGGTATTCCGATTGTTCGCTTGGGCAACTACGCGAGGCTTAACTAGAATGAAGCCATAGCAGCCGCGGTTCAGGGTTCTGGGCACCGTGCTGCCAAGGATGGCGTCTTCACTGGGGTTGGCGATCTGAATGACCTGCTGAAATGATGGCAGTGGCCAGAAATGCTGGGCAGCATTGTTCCTCGGAGATGACAGAAGAGGAACTCTGATAGCCAATGCCGATCTGGCTGCTCATGGCAGGATCGGGGGCCAACTCCACTGGGTTATACAGAACACACGAGGGTCCATTGCCACCTGCTTTGTCGCAATATGGCATGTAACAAGAAACTTTCGAGCCGGAGCCACTGCAGGCCAATCCCTGTCACTCCATCTCATCTCGCTCGTCCGTATCGAGTAACCGGGGACTCGCCCAGCAGCCATGTTCAGCCGACATGAAGAATCAAGGTACGCCTCCCAAAGCTCTCATCCTTCGCATGGCATGAAAGGACGCACTCATACCGTCCATTGAGTAAGCGATCATGCACCCAATATCTCGAACAACCCAGTCGCAGCACGATTGCGCCACCGAGGGAGCTCGCTTAGCGAGAGCCCTGGACAATCTTCATAATTCATGCTACTCAATCCATCATCTTCATATCCACGGAGCTATCGGAGAAGACTCCCATTTCCGATCAAGAGCCAGCAAGGTAATGTATACCTTCAAGCTAGAGAGAGGCAAAATAAAGGTCAAAGCGGCCAGAAAAGCTCTTTCAGTCGTGATAGCAACGAGACCCAGCCACACAGACAGCAGCAATAACAAAGACAAAAGGCGATCCTTCGCTCGACTAAAAAGCAATATACATGGAGAAATCGCCCCCCTTCCCCCGGAGAGGCCGCTCTTTCCAGCATCACACCTCACAAAGACAAATATTGTGTGATTCAATTGGGTTGCAGCATCCGTATTACCATGTGTGTGTGGCTGTGGGTGTAATTGGCTGCTAATCTCGCTTCTTATATTGCTGACTGTTCTCATACCCATTATACTATCACGCAAGCGCCAGCTAATGAGATAAAGCCGAACCCTCCTGCTTTTCAGCTGCCGGCAGGCAAGCTCTAGCTTTGAGCTGACATGGAAAATCGTCACTCTTGTTGGACTTGACATCAGCGGCAATAGTGAGGGGGCGGTTTTCGTTTATTTTTTGCGGGTTTTCAGCTGTCTGTCTATCACTGACACAATTGTCCGAGAACAATAGGCGCTGGAAGATGCTAACTGATGGTAAATATTGAGCATGTATGTACAGCACTTATGCAACAAACCCAGATTCAAAGCCCAATCCAGCAGCCACATAGCGAGTGTACGTCCGCACTGATGCGGCTGTGGTAAGATCATCGCACCTATCGTTGCCATGGTTCCATCCAAGAAGCAGAGACACCTCTCTCATCAGTCCGAGTACTCATTTAATATTTCTTTCTCGTCCCGCTGCTAAACAGTTATTCTCTCAGTGACTTGTAGATACCAAACTATTCCCTTTCGCAGAAGAAATACCCAAACAAGTTTCGGATATCGATCGTAACATGGCCTCTACCCCAGAGAAAGAGACTGATATCATTCTTGACTTCAAGAGAAGGCTTTTTAGAGAACATAAAAGAGGACACTGTGGCCTGTCTTAGCCCTAGCACAGCCAGCCAGCCCATCAAAGCTAGCAGCTTCCCCACAAACGATTCTACTATGTGCTCCCTGCTTTTCGTTCCATCCCACACAATATCTCGCATAGTCTACTGTCTCTACACCAAGTCCATCGTGAAGCAGCTGAGTAGCTGTTTGAGTCAGTGAAATCCGAAGATCCTCTCAAAGATCGTTGCGCATTGTGCACTATGTCAAACCCGAAGTCTACACCAGTATCAACGAATCAAAATATCGATCACTTAACTCCTGCCACTTCCATCGGAAACTGACTCCAATGACCCTAAAGGCTGCTTATCCTGTCAGATTGACAGGTCTTGACATGCCCGATACGTTGGCTTTCTCCGAAGCAGGGAATCCATTTTGCTTAGCCGCCCTTACAATCTCATTGCGGCGTCGCCAACATCATTATTTCTGCAACCCCCTTCGTAGCAGATTGAATCCGAACATAGTCTCGAGCTCATGCAACAGGGAACGCAATTTCTCAATCTCGACTTCTTGCGTCTATATTCAACAAGCTATGAATAGCCTCCTGGAACCTCACATCATCTTGTGGCATTACATGGCTAATCAGCTAGCAACAGAACTCTTTGCATCTGATAACCTACTGCGCCTCCACGAACCTAACGACCTTGATATAAACAACCTGCACAAGACGACAAAGCAGAATCCGCTCATACTCAGGAGCTGCAATGGACTTCTCAGCCCTTTACCGGATCGACCTCAACATCCTCGGGAATGCCCACGTCCTAAGGTCGCACCATCTCGAGCTTTACATCCCTTTACCCACTATATCCGCCTCGATCTCCGCCTCGCTTGCCTAGGAAAATCGGTCATGCTCTTGAAACGCGAGCTTGACTAGTATTGTCTCGCGGGGTAGTCGTCTCCGTCCACTCCACCAGGGACGAATACTTCTCCATGGGCAGTGGGGAGTGAGACACCCAGCAACCACACAAGACGTGTGGTTGCTACATACTGTTGTCTGCTCATTGACTGCAGCTGCGGCCGTGACCTTTGGAATACGTAGAGTAATAGGATGTGCTCCACCCTTTCACGTCGGGGACCAGCTTCTGCCTCACTATCCTTTCAACCACAGGCATAACAGCATGGCAGAAGAGTGAGCAAAGAAAAAAAAAAAAAAAAACAGAGAAAAGAGGACATAAAAGCTAGCTAAAGAAAATGCCAACAAAAGGTTTGCTCTTGTAGTAAATCCATCTCTAGGTGATCTCTAAGGCTCACCCAAGAGGTATGCATAATAGCTATACTGTACTGTTCACCAAGCATATAGCGTAGTTACTTCCTCGACGCAAAAACATAATTACAAAGACCACAATCAACTATACTAAGCAGCGAACACATTCGCAAGTATTCACGGAACTCCACCAAGCTCCTATCAATAATGAGGTCATAACACTTAAGTTCCCGCATAAGCTGGCATGCAGCCCAAGCCTGGGGATATCGGCAATTGGCACAACCGATGAAGTAATAGAACCCAACTCCCGAGCTCGGCAGACCGAAGCGGAAAAAAAAAAAGATAAGGGAAAAAAAAAAGATAAGTTACCGTTGGTAGTGCTCGGTTAAAGGTTATCATCAATCCTACTGTAATCTCCAGATTCCAGAAGTTCTCTTTTTCCCTTTTCCCAATCTGTCAAAAGTGTCAATTCTCCCATTCCCCTTTCCCCCGCAACCCCGCATCAAACAATACTTACCATCCACCACCATGGAAACCGATCCCGGATTCATCGCCGCTCTCGAGGAGGCCAAGCAAGGATTGGCCGAGGGAGGCGTCCCCATCGGAGCTGCCCTGGTCTCCAAGGATGGCAAGATCCTCGGTCGCGGGCACAATATGCGCGTCCAGAAGGGCAGCGCTGTCTTGCATGTACGTTTCCGCATCTGATTTTGCTTTATTGGTGGACAAGCTCGGGTATATATATTATCGCGTGGGGTTTACGGCATTGTAGTAGCCTGCCTGCCTGCACTGCACTGCTTGATGACGTAGCTGAGCTGCAGACTTGCGAACCAAACTAAATTCCAAATTGCAATAGGCTGAGATGTCCGCGCTCGAGAATTCGGGTCGGTTGCCCGCGTCGGCCTACGAAGGTGCCACCATGTACACCACCCTTTCGCCATGCGATATGTGCACCGGTGCCTGTATCCTCTACAAGGTGAAGCGCGTCGTCATCGGCGAGAACAAGAACTTCATGGGCGGCGAGGAGTACCTTCTCAACCGGGGAAAGGAAGTGGTTGTCTTGGATAACAAGGAGTGCAAGAAGTTGATGGAGGACTTTGTCAAGGACAAGCCGGAGCTCTGGTAAGTTGGGCCTTGCTTTTTCGTTTGGTCTTTCAAAGTTTTGGACATGGTATCATTTCTTTTTCCCTTCTTCTATCACACGCTTCCGTCACTTTTCTTTGTTTGGTAGAATTCCGGTCTGACTATTTGAACCCGAACAGGAACGAGGACATTGCCGTCTGAGTTATCGTGAGAAAAGGGTTTCGCAGATACGCTGCAGCGGAGATATCCAACATGTATAAATTTATAGTCCAGAGAGCAAATGAGTCATACCCACATCAGGCGACGATCTCAAGCCGCCGTCAAGCGGTGGATCTCCTCGAAGTAGAATTTGAGGTCATCGGGATTGACGAACGGAGTAATGCCTAACCACACCAGTACTGTTAGCATATGCAAAGCTTCAATGTTCAGACCGGGATATCTCACCGTGTCCCAAGTTGGCAATCCAGCCCTTCTTGCCCGGCCAGAAGCCGCGGACCATAGTCTCCACAGCCTCGGTAATGGCCTCACGGGTACCGTAAAGAACACCGGGATCCGCATTGCCCTGGAGCGTCACACGACCGTTCGCGATCTTCTTGGCCTCGGCGGGATCATGCAGCCAGTCCAGACCAACAACGTTGTAGCCCGACTCGCACAGATCCTCCAAGGCGAACCAAGCCCCCTTAGCGAAGACCGTCATCGGGACCGGTTCCAGACCCATTTCCGTCAACTTCTTGGGGAGATTCTGGGCGATGTAGCGCAGATACGGGAGAGAGAAGCGGCTGAAGGCCACGGGCGACATCTCCCCAGCCCAGGAGTCAAACACCTGCACCAGCTGCGCGCCGGCCTCAACCTGAAGCGCCAGGTACTCGACACAGATCTCGGCGATCTTCTGCAGCAGGGCCTTGGACTCCTCGGCGTATCTGTAGATCCACTTCTTCGACTGAACGAAGAGCTTCGTACCGCCACCTTCGACCATGTAGCACAGCAGGGTCCAGGGCGCTCCGCAGAAGCCGATCAAGGGCACACGGCCGGCCAGCTTGTGGCGGGTGAGCGTGATGGCCTTGTAGACGTAGTCCAGCTCGGCCTTGACGTCCACCTGCTTCTGCATCACCTTCTCATACTGTCCATCGTCCGGCGACTGCAGCGGTTGCGGGAAGTGCGGGCCCTTCTTGTCGACCATCTCCACCTGCATGCCCATAGCCTGGGGGATCACCAGGATGTCAGAGAAGATGATGGCGGCATCGATGAGTCCGGCGTACCGCTCAATGGGCTGGAGGGTCAATGTGGACGCAATCTCGGGGCTGCGGCAGCATTCGAAGAAGTCGCGCTTGCCTTTCGCTTCGTGGTATTCGGGGAGGTAACGACCAGCTGTAGCAAATTGAACCACCCAGGTTAGCGACTATGGCTGCACATTCTTCTTCCACGCGCAGGTTCTCGATTTGGAAGGTGGAGGGGCAATGCGTACCTTGCCGCATGACCCAGATCGGAGGACGAGGGACCTCCTCGCCTAGTGGAGAGTTAGCTTGCTTCGATGATGAGCATGTATTTGCAATTAAGGCTACCTCTGGCGGCCCTCAGCAGGAGGTCGTTCTTCAATGGTGCAAATTGTTCGGGCATTTTGATTGCGAAGGTATGTTACAGAAGAGGAAGAGGGGACCTTGAGAAGGAGGGGTTTCCATGACATGCGCAGGTCCTGCCGCTCGGTGCCTCGGGCCGCCAATCGGCTGATCACCGCTGACTACGCGGAGTTTTATGCTAATTTACAGTGAGTCAAGTAAACTACCAGCCAAAAGACCCGAGGCTGGATTCCGAATTTGACATAATCAGGAGCATCTCCTGAAATTACTGAGCAGAGGGTGACAATGCGATTATAGGAAATGCACAGGAAATTGATGTTTGATTGCTAGCTAGAGAGCTTTCATGCACCATGCTGCAGTCTCTCCCGTCGTAGGACCTAGACCTCCAGAAATAGATATCCCAATATTTCTAAACTTCTACAAGCGCATCACTCAACCTACACAAGACACTCAGTCAAGGTTTCGATCGAGAAGCTGGCTTTACGTCCTACGACGAACCAACGTAGACCTGTCTTCAGTTGATGTTAGCCTTCAAGTTGTCTCAAAAGTGGAAGTGACAAAAAGTAAGAGGGTAACAGAGGTGTCAGCAAAAAATTAGAGTGTAAGTTGTTGCTGTTTTTGATCTTCAAAGCCGTAGCTACGAGTTAAAAAGGATCATCATCCACCGAGGGTATGTGTGCATGAAAGACAAACTGTAAAAGCAGGTAGCTCACCTTTGTTGATTCATCAGATAATGGAGCGTAGACTACGTTCCATTATGCGATGAGAGATTGATCAAAAAAATTCATGACCATGAAAATCATTTCATTCATCCAATCGTCAAGACTGGAAAGAAAGATATCTAAAACATGGTTCGCATTTCACGTTCAAAATAGACGCGAGACGCTTAGTCGAAAAGACCGAAGCCCATGTCCTCGTCAGACTCCTCAGCCTCCTCAGCGGGGGCCTCGGCAGCGGGGGCATCACCGCCAGCAGGGGCAGCGGCGGCAGCGGGAGCGGAGGAAGCGTAAGCGTCAGGGTTGGCGATACGGTCCTTGAGCTCCTCAATCTCGGGCCAGGAGATCTCAGTCTCGATGGCAACAGCGAGAACCTTCTTGTAGCTGTTGACCACGGAGTGGATGACAGAGGGAAGGGTGGGGAAGTTAGCGGCCAAAGAGATGCTGGTGATGGTCTTGATGGCAGCGCTGAAGGCATCGAGGAGCTGGGACTCCTCGATGTCGAGAACCTCGGAACCGAAGGTCTGACCCTGGTCGTAGACCTGGGAGATGGTCATACCGTAGGTGAAGGGAGAGATGTTGAGCATGTTCAACAGGGTGGCCTCAGAGGGGCCGACCTTGGCACCAGCCTCAACGAGCTTCAAGTCGGTGGTGATTTCAATGGTACCACGAGCAATCTTGGTGGGGACACCGAGAGCCTGGAAGAAAGAGGTCTTACCGGGTTCCATACCGGTGTTACCAGCGGGAATCCAGACATCAGCGGGAGCGACGGCACCGGCACGAGCGGGAGCAGCGACACGGTTGGCCAGGATCTTCTCCTTGGTGGACTTGAGGTCACCGTTGGTGAAGATGAAACCGACGTTACCTGCGATCACAATCAGTTCCTGAGTTTTTGAATGCAGACGTGTAGATATGACTTACCCTTGACGAAGGGGAGCAGGCGCTCGTACTCCGGGTTGTCGGTGACGAAGCCCTTGATGGCACGACGGACCTTAAATTACACCGTTAATATGCGTTGGCCCATTAGCGGCAGAGGGATCAGAAACTTACCATGGTGTTCTTACCCATCAGGACGACACCCTCACCACGCAGAGAGACACGGATCTCGTGCATCTGCTGGGAGCTGACATTGTCGACACCGACAATGAAGACGGTCTTGTACTCATCGAGAAGGGCCTTGAGCTTATCGAAGTAAGCGGCCTTGGTAGCAGACTTGCCCCCCATTTCTCCTTATTTCGCTGAAGAAAGGCTGTTTAAGGGCAAGGGATAATTTGTTGAAGAAGTTGTTGTCCGAATAAATCGAAACGTTGGAGGTTCGAAGAAACAATCGCGCCGCGGATTTTAGGAAATCCTTACTCGGTTGTGGCCTCGCTAGCCGATATATCACGTGGGCCCCGCTCCGCGCTTAGCTTCATCCCCTGCTTGTAGTAGGCGGTGTCGCATGCGGTGTCGCACTCCAGGGCGGTGAGATGCTTTTTTTTTCTGCCAGGTGCCTATTCCATCTATCAAATCGCAAGTGGGGGCAAAGGCTGCTTTCTGCGATTGCTGCTTGCGATATCCATTATCGGGGCTGAACCACCATCCTTGAGCTCCGATTAAAGTACTACACAATGGCCTCCAACTTCCAATACCCCTTCCAATGCGTTCAGCTTGTGCAAAGGCCGCAGGCCAAGCTCCTGCTTGCCTCCGCTGGCCCACGGCTGTACTCCTACTCTGCCGAGACCGGCCAACGACTTGCGAGCTGGCCACAAGATACCAGCTCAAGTGACCAGGAACCCCCAGAGAAGAAAAGGAAGGTTTCCACGGCGGAGGGTAGTCCTGTGGAAGAGTCAGAGACTGCAGGAAACACCGAGAAGTCGAAGGCCCCGCCGGCTTGGTCGAACATCCCTATTGTCACTAGCACATCGAACGGCGAATATGTCATTGCTGTCACAGGAGAAGACAAGTGCATCCGCGTCTTCCAGCTTCAAGATGATGGTTCGTTCCAGCAACTCAGCGAGAGGTAAGCGTTTAATGATACTTCCCCACGAACTGAGCGCGATCGTCGTTGTGTACTAACGCTGTCCCCCGCAGAATCATGCCCAAGCGACCATCCTCCATCGCATTGACCAGCGATGAGACCACAATCCTCTGCGCCGACAAATTCGGAGACGTTCACTCTCTGCCCCTCATCCCCAGCAATGAAAAGCCCGCCGTTGCTCCCAGACCCAATAGAGAGGCGAAACTCAGCCATCCTGCCGCAACCAACTTGACCGTGCACACCAAGGGCAACCTGAGAGCTTTGGAACAGCAACTTGAACTCGCCAAGAAGAAGAAGGAAGCAGGGGAGGATAAGTCCGGCCCCTCGTTCGAACACCATCTCCTGCTCGGCCACGTTTCGCTGCTCACCGACATGCTCTTCGTATCTCTCCCCTCCGACACCCACAAGCATACCTATATCCTGACCGCCGATCGCGACGAACACATCCGTGTCTCTCGTGGCCCACCCCAGGCGCATGTCATCGAAAACTACTGCTTGGGTCATACCGCCTTCATCAGCAAGATCTGCGTGCCGCGGGACGCCCCAGAGTACCTGATCTCCGGCGGAGGCGACAACTACCTGATGGTCTGGAACTGGACCGAGGGCCGTGCTCTCCACAAGGTTCCTCTGGTCGAGGACTCGTCGGCCGCCGAGGTGGTCGTCCGCGGGATCTGGGCCACGACACTAGAGGACTTGCGACTCATTCTCGTTGCGCTGGACGGGTAAGTCCATCTGATTTGAACAATAATGACCGCAATATCGAGAACAATCAGCCACTAATCCTCAACCATCCATAGATCCTCCCAACTCCAATGCTTCACCCTCGAAGCCGACGGCTCCCTCAAGCCCCAAACCCCCCTCGACCTCACCGGCAACGTCCTCGCCGTGACCAGCATCGAGAAAGACAACACGCTGCTCATCTCCGTCGACTCCGTCCGCACTGCGGGCTCGACTCACGAGTGGCGCGCAAGCCCCTCTGCCCCTTCCACCCTGATCGAGGCCTTCCGTCTCCAGCAGAGCTCCGAGGGCTCGCTGGGCTGGGAACCCACCCTGCAGTCCGCGACCGGCGCTATCAACGCCGCGGGCACGTTGGAAATCCCGGCTACCACCGAAGACAAGAAGCGGGGAGAGCTGAACGATCTATTGTATGCCATGAGCAAGCTTCGCAAGACGCCGAGAGGCGGGGACGACGAGTAGACGAAGGCATTAAAATGAATCAATGTATACCTCTTAGTGGATGTATACGAGTAAAATTTTGTGAACATCACAAAGGATGATGTAAATGTACATATACTTAGATATTGACATATTCAGTGCTCAAAACAAATACAGCCCTGTCAGGGACGCGGCGACAATCCAAACGTCACTCGGTCTCGTTCGAGAGATCGCACGGCTTCCTGTGTATGAGTGTCTGTCGTAGGTGGGACTATTTATATATCTCTGCCCACACACCCATCCTCCCCCTTTTCCAAAAACATTACACAGATCTCTCGAATCTTCTATACTGCCTACACAAGAGGGCAAGCTTTATCAGACATTGTATGCGCACGAAGAAGAACTGCACAGCCGGAAGTCATAATCTGTAAGTTATGGCACTACACCACCACTACATGACATCCTCTGCCGCGGCCAAACATAAGAATACCCACGTTCTCTTCGCCCACGTCGCGCCTCTACCCCCCAAAACAGGGAATGCGAAGATCACCAGCAAATAGCAAAAGGTAAATGAACTCGCTATTGACGGACAGATATCTCAGAGCCAAGAGCCGCAACCTATTTTATTGAACGCAGGGTCCATAGAGAGCCTTTTATCCTCGCTGCTAAGCAGCAACCACAGGCCAGACGGTACAGGCTATAAGAACTTTAGCACATACTCTTCTCGCTGGAATTCTGATATCCCCAGCAAAGCTGAACGAATCCCAGACAGTATGATACGATTACCAAACAACCACGAGAAGCAGCCACCATGCTAAGTACGTAAACAAATCAAGCAGTCCAGATGACGTAAAAGAGATTATATTCATATGTACAGAAAGCACACCTAAAACCAAGGTTTATCACCCGTCATCCCCACTTCTGCCAAACCGACCGCCAAACCCGCCCAGATCACGGCGGAAGAACTTGCCGATATTCTTCAGGTTCTCGTTCAGGTTCGCAGCGGCGCTGCTCTCCGCACCGGGGTTGCTCGGGGCCGAACCACCGAGATTGGGCGTCGAGGAGGCTGAGGTGAGGATGGTTCCGCTGCCGCCGCCGCCACCACCACCACCACCAACACCGGATGTTGCGCCCGCGCCGCCTCCTACTCCGGGTATCGTGGTCGCCGAGGAGCCGCTCATGGGAGTTCCGAAGCGGTCGACGCCGTCCTTGGCGGCGGAGATGAGGGCGGAGCCGAGTAGGGATGCGTCGAAGCGGGTGGGGAGATTCGTGGCGCCGATGGACGCGGCGGCCGAGCCGAGTCCCAGGCCCTGGGAGACGGAGACGGAGGTGGGCGCGGTGGTGGATTGTAGGGCGGTTAGCATGGGGTTACTCTGCTGGAGGTTGGAGGCGTAGCGATCGGATGCGCGGTGGATCTGGAAGAGTTCCAGGAGGTGGTTCTGTTCCTGGCGGCTGCGGATGCCCTTCATGTCCAGGATCTTGCGGAAGTTGGTGTTGTTCTGGTCGGCGATGTGGACGAGGTACGCCTGCACGAGGGCTTCGGGGGGCGAAGGGTGCACCTGCAGGGTCTTGAGGAGGGCTTCGATCTTGGCGAAACTGCTGTTGACGCGCTTGACGAAGCCGACGGGGGCGGGATTTGGGAGGAGTGATGCAAGGCCGGCTTTGAGGGCGTAGGCATCGAGGAGCATCTACACGCAGGTGATTAGTTTGGGAGAGGCAGCGGGTTGTAGACCGGGGACGGAAATATTTTACCTGCTCCGCTCCAGTCTCTGCAATAGGCTTGGACTGGAAGATGTTGGTGGTGAAAAGATTGGAGATCAGCTCTACAGTGTGGTCTGCGAAGGCCCGGGCGTATTGCTGTTTGTGTAGCAGCTGTAGAGTTTCCGAGCACTTGCTCTGAGTCTTTGACAAGAGTTCGCCCACGTAGGAGCTCTGGTCGCTGACACTTTCCAGTCGACTCCAGGGTATATTGCGCATTTCGCGCCAGCAAGGCTCCAAGTCGACCTCAACTCTTCGTACAAGACCTCGAACGGTTGCAGACGCGATGCCCATAAATGTGTCCGCCTGGCTCTGCAGGTCCACCGACTGTTTCAGGTTCTTATCCAGCCTGCCCTTGATCTTCTCCTCCAACTGGTTGCAGGTCGTGTAGCAGTAATCGGCGGTGTTGAGGACCAGGATGAGATCCTCGAGATTAGGTACCTTCGACGGTGTGTGGCCACTGGGACGTTCACTGATGTAGTAGAGAAGTACCTGTTGTGCGTATTGGTCCAGGTACTTTGCAAAGACCTTCGCCAGGTCTGCAAGGCTTCCGCCGGTGGACAATTTCGCACATTGCTGTAAAGCATGTCGGTAGAAATTAAACAGATCCGTTGAGGAGGATATCACTATGTGCGAGTCGAACTCTTCGTCCGGCGGCTTAATGGGCTGCTGCCGGTATTTGGGTATAAGCGCAGCCAGTTGCTTATCCTGAGCCTCGACCCAGACGCTGAGATAGGGCTCAAAAGCCTCCGATATGGCCTGGCCGAACACCGGCGCCTCGCTCGAGGCAAAGGTGTCAGTAGAGGGACGAGCGGGGCTCACAAAGCGTCGCTCAAGCGAATGCTCGAAATCCAAGGTTTCTTGCAAACACGACAGGAGCAGATTGACGTCGATCGATTGCCCATTGCGCACCGAGCGCGAGAGGATCCCCTTGAAGTCGTCCCTCGTTCCTTCACAGAAAATGTTGGTGAGGGTCTCATTGACCTTCCAAGACGCGGGGAAGATGGGCGCGTAGTCCTCATCATAAATCTTCAAAATACGTCTGAACCACGCATACCGCCGCGATATGTTGTCCAGAGATCCTGCCTCCTCATTGTTCCTGAACACCTGACGGTACTCGCGCAGTTGGAAATTGCAGTACCAGGTCACGAGCCTAGATTTTGCATGTTCGCCCAGCGCATCCATGACCAAACAACCCTCCGAGAGCGTCGACCTCCGCAGCCCAACTTCCCCCTTGGCGAACGCCAGCTCGAAATCCTCACAAACTTGTTCCAGGAGCTCTCTTTGTATATCTGCCACGTTCTTGCTGAGAAGAGCAATCTGATCGATCGAACGGTACGACTTGAAATGCGCCATGAGCTGAATGACCGCCTGCAGCAGCTGGGCGCAGTCCCGATATTGCCTGGTCCGACTGAGGGCGCGAAGCTGATCGTAGGCCGTCGTCAGCATCTGCAGCCGCTTCAGGGCTGTCATGGATAGTGTGAGGTTCTTCTTCGCATTGTCCAATTGCTTGATATCCGCCGTCATCTCCGTGATCGCGAGCTCGGTCTTGGAGGCGCGGTCGCGCACATCGTCGATCTTCTTGAACAGTTCGGTCAGGTCCGCTTTGGCGGCCTGGATGCGCTCTACACTTTCCGCGTTCGAGGTGACCTGGTCCTCGACCAGGGCGCTGATATCGTCGTCGAGCTCATCTTCGTATGCGGAGAGGGACTGGGACACTTGTGACACGGCGGACAGCGTGGAGGGATGGGAGAAGATCAAGTTCAGATGGTCGATGGGATCGTAGTCCGCTAGTGCAACAGATTCATCAGTCAATCTGCTTCGTAGGACGCAGGACTGAAGGGTTGTCAGCCAGGTCCGCTCACCTGTATCTAAGGGGTCGATATCGGCCGCTCCATTGGAGGGCATTGAGGCGGTGGTAGTGGTAGTAGTGGTGAACATTCCATTAGCTCTTTAGCATGAACACCAGACACATGCTGCAATACCAGCTTGAGGGCAGTCGCCGATTCAACATGCACACAATCGAAGAAGTACAGGGGGGAGGGAGAACAAAGAGAGCTAGTTGTTATGGAGTAGGATGGGTTGATCAGCTCCAAACGATTTGGGGGGGGGAGCGGGAGGCGGGGAGTTGGTTCGGAGAAGCTCACAAAGCGCGGGCGGGTGTCCGGCAAGCTGTTCAGCACTCCAGGCTTAACTTGGCAGGGATTGAGTAATTGCAAGCACCATGGAACTTGTTGAAGTTCTTGTATTGCCACTACAACGATCTACAATATTTATTGAAGCTTTTATGTTTCTCGCTTATAGCAATGGATAGGTGAAGTGTGTGGATGGTAATGAAGCGGCCTAGGGGGTTTTGTTCTCCAATCCCCCAGGCTCTTTGTTTATGGACATAATATTCGTGGTCTTGGTTGATACATAACAGGATAAGATGGGGAAAAAATCTAGATTCAATATTTGTGTCTTCAGCCCGACTGCCATTCGCCCGAGCCATGCAATAAGAAGCAGCAAAACAAACCAGGCCAAAGTAAGGCAAAATTGTAACTCCAAACAAACACCATTATGATCTAGCAAAGTGTGATTTGAACCCGCCGTTCTGTCGATGACGAGCGGCGGTGTCGAGTGTTTAGACTGTTCCGGCTAGGAAGGCTTCAGGGGGCAACGTTCCCTGCTCCTGTAGATCGATTAGTATGGGTCTCTGTTGCAAACAGTCTTCTGGTTGATCTTACCTTGAGCTTGGCGAAGTCCTGCAAAGCTTTGTCCAAATCCCAGCCATTTCCGCTGATAGCCAGCTCGGAATACTGCAAGGTCATTCCAGTCTGGCTCATGACTTGAATTACGAGTTGCTCTTGTTGCACTTGTGTCTCACTCTTTCCGGGGGCAGGCATGCCATACCCTTCCGGGGTGGCTGGCGATCCCACCACCGGCTGAGGAGGGACAGCTGCCTGATCGATTGACTGCTGGGGAGTTGCCTGTTGAGCCGCCGGTTGAGCGGCTCCCTCGGTTTCTGGAGCCCATGCTTCGTTACCGCCATACGCGCGACAACATAGGATGTCGTTGATGACTCTCACTCCACCCGCGCCACCGCCAGGACCCAATACGAAAGTTCTGTCGAAGCTCCGCGTGTCGATCTTGGAGCCCTTGCCGATTTCGTCGTATTTACCGTGAACTGTAATCAGGAGGCCGCCAACACCAGTGGGACTCTGGCCGGTCGGATCAGCCAGTCCTGGGATCGGGTAACACTCAATTAGCCAATCCTGAGGGTGCGCCGCGATATCCGGGTGTCTTGTAGCAGGAAGGCTGTTCCACAACTTGCGGATTTTCTCCGCACCATTATGCGATCGAGACATTCTGGCGGTCAAGTGCGTGATTCTGAGCAAGTTTCTGCTATTCTTGATGTACGCGTCCCAGGCTGCAACATCAGCTTGCTGGGCTCTGGGAGCGGCAGTGTTGATGTTAAGAGTGAATGTGGATTCGTTGTCGTATACGCTATCAAGCAGGCCGTTCCGGTCATTGTCGTAGCCGGAGAAGAAAGCTCTAATGAAATTCTCGGCAATGCAGCCCTCGTCCCGGAAATACGGTGCTTGAACAGGGATCGGCGATTTCTTCAGTGCAGCCAATTCTTCTGCGGTCCGAACTTCGATACCATTGAGGACTCGAAGTTTGAGATACCACTTGAGCATGGTGTCCTTGAACGTAGGATCGGCACTGAAAGGCGTGTTGGAAAGGTCCAGGAGCTCGAGATTTTCGAATTTATGGCGCCATGCCAGCAAGGACTGTGCGTCCTTGAAGTCGTTGTGCGAAAGGTCGAGGTTTTTCAAGTCTGGGAAGGCTTGCGCCAAGGTAGTAACCATCTTCAGATTCTCAAGCTTGTTGGCCCTCAGACTGACGCTCTCGACCGCCTGGCGACGCGCGGCGGGGCTGTCGAACACCAGGCTGAGATTCAGCTCCCAGACCTTCATAAGTGCAGGGAAGAATTTCGATTCAGTTGATGTGCTTTGGAAAATTCCCATGGCGATGAGATCCGGATCATTGTGTAGATCCGAGAGATCAAGGAGCTTGTTCTCTCGGTTAAACCGCTTGGCGAGGAAGGCAGTCATCTTAGCCTTCGTGTCGGCGGCCGTGGGCGTGCTACCATTCACAGGCAGCATCGACTGGTCTATCCCGGCTTCATCATATTTTTCAATTTCCAGAATTTTGCCTGCAAAGTTAAAACCGTTGAGCTGAAGCATCCTGTTCAACAGTTCCGGCTTAATAGACACGATAATCGCGTCGCCTTCGAGCCGCGACTAGTGAACGTTAGTAAGGCGCAAGAGACCTCCCATGATCGCGATCATCCCAAGGAATAAATGCCAAATGAGCGGAAGCAAATGTCGACCGTCGTTCTGGAGGTACCATCACTGAAAACGAGAGCACATCGGAGAGGACGACGCTGGTGATAACTCATATGTCGATGATCGCAAGTTCTGGTGTTGCACATACCTTAGTGATCCTTGCGCGTGCGCTAGCTCTCGCGTCGGGTGGGCTGAGTTTCTTCTCGAGGAAGGCGATTAGGCTTTCTTGGCCGCCGTCGGGATTCGATTTGGCCTTGCTCCCCTTCCAGTTGTTGACCCTGACCTGTTCCAGATTACTGGTCCGACCACCGTGGCGGATGTTTGCTTGTTGCGACTCCGAGTTGCTGGAAATAGCCTTCTGAATGGCATCTATCGCTCGGGTGGATGTCTGAGACCGTGTTCCAGAAGAAGCGCCGGATCGAACAGAGTCGCCACGACCCCTCTTCGCACGAGCTTGAGACGTATTTCCATCCATGACCAAATCACCTTCCCGATCGACTTTTTTCGCAGCACCCCGCTTGCGGATGCCCCCGCGATCCGAAGCGCTGGGGCGGCCTCGAGCCTTTCCGTTCTTCATGGTGGGATACAAAGAGAAGATTCGTTATATGGATGGTGTTTCTCGACAAGATTGTGTGTTGAAGGAGACGGAGTCGGGCGTCGACGATGTGCGAAAGGTTTTTGTAGGCAGGTGGAGCGCTGCGCGCTTTGTCGTCCAGAATCAGGCAAGCGGCATTCAATGAAAGATGTTAAAAGAAGCCGCTTACGAGGTCGAGTGGGATGAGTTGAAAGGAAGATTCTTTGAATCGATATCCTAGATTCGGGGGACCTCTGGTGCGTTTGAGAAAGTGCCACCAACCAACCTCAGAGTGGAGAGGTTTGAGGGAGGGGAATAATGGAACAATGAAAATGCAGAAGCTAGTTTAGAGACAAGTCAAAAGAGTCAGCAGAAAAAGTGACGTGCACCCGGAAGGATGCGCATCACGTGAGCGGACAGCAGACCGCCCTGCAGATTGCGATGGCTGATAGCTATCACGTGACTGCTATCAGGCACTATATCCAAGCACGTCCAATCAGAGTCTGTAGTCTGTCCTTTGGAGCACTGTTGGTAATACCTTCGTATTGATGCATGCACGTCGGTAGATAGTCGTACCGAGCTAATCCCTAAGAAGTAAAATTGCAACAATACCCCCGGTACTCGGTATTGGCCAGATACCCGCAGTGTTACAAGTAACTCCAGTAGTTCTCCGCTTCAGCTTAACAGGACAGCTTGTTCCATCGAAGTCGCACGCCAGTCGTCACTCCCAGGAGAGGATTTGCTTTGTGCTGGAAACTTACTATCCTACCACCTCACTCACTCATTCACGTACGTCCCTTGATCTGTACCCAGATATTCTGTCTCATTGAACGGGCCTCAACCCGGTTGGCTAACATTCAACTTCAGTCATTAATTACCAGGCGCCGCCCCTGCCTTGATCGCGGGCACTAAATAGCTGATCTCCGGTCCATAACGAAGACCGCGCACCCTTCCACATACCCCACGGCCCTCTTCGCATGGTCGTCAATTCAGTAGAGAGATGCCGGCCAAATCACGATTTACGAGGTTAGATGCGTTCGCCAAAACGGTCGAAGATGCGCGCGTTCGAACCACGTCTGGAGGAGTCATCACCATAGCATCGTTGCTGGTTATATTCTGGCTCGTATGGGGAGAATGGGTGGACTACAGGCGCGTGGTGGTTCTGCCCGAGTTGGTGGTTGATAAGTCAAGAGGTATGAAGACATAATCTTTTCTTCTGCATGAGAGAAACGAAGCAAGACTGACTGAACGGCCTTTGGCGCAAAATAGGCGAGAAAATGGAGATTCATCTGAACATGACCTTCCCCCGACTCCCTTGCGAAATGTTGACCCTCGATGTTATGGATGTGTCAGGCGAGCAGCAGACGGGCGTGGCCCATGGCATCAACAAGGTGCGCCTGACTTCGGAGGCCGAAGGAGGTCGGGTGATTGACGTGAAAGCTCTGGACCTGTAAGCTTGGAATTCCCTCGTTCTATCCTGTGATCTATCACTGACCATGCGTCTTCCAATCTAGCCATTCTTCGACCGAGACCGCTAAGCACCTGGACCCCGATTACTGCGGCGAATGTGGTGGCGCACCCGCACCTGCCGGTGCCATCAAGGCTGGCTGCTGCAACACCTGCGAAGAGGTCCGCGAAGCTTATGCCCAAAAGCAATGGGCCTTCGGCAAGGGAGAGAACATCGAACAGTGTGATCTTGAGGGGTATGCGGAGCGCATCGATGCGCAGCGCCGCGAAGGCTGCCGCCTCGAGGGTGTCCTCCGCGTCAACAAGGTGATTGGCAACTTCCACATCGCGCCCGGGCGCAGCTTCACCAGTGGCAATCTCCATGTGCACGACCTCGCCACGTTCTTCGAGCCTAACCTGGCCGAGAATGAGAAACACACCATGACCCACGTGATTCACCAGCTCCGATTCGGACCTCAGCTGCCTGACGAGCTGTCAGATCGCTGGCAATGGACCGATCACCATCACACCAACCCCTTGGACAACACGAAACAGGAGACCAGCGAACCTGGCTACAACTTCATGTACTTTGTCAAGGTGGTCTCGACCTCGTACCTCCCCTTGGGCTGGGATCCGCTATTCTCGTCCTCCATCCACAGCGCCTATGACAAAGCCCCTCTCGGAGCTCATGGAATTGCCTACGGAGCCGAGGGAAGCATTGAGACCCACCAGTACTCAGTGACCTCCCACAAGCGGTCCCTGCGGGGCGGTGACGCCTCCGACGAAGGCCACAAGGAGCGACTCCACGCCGCCAACGGTATCCCCGGCGTCTTCTTCAACTACGACATCTCCCCGATGAAGGTCATCAACCGCGAAGCTCGCCCTAAGACCTTCACTGGATTCTTGACTGGAGTCTGCGCCATCGTCGGTGGTACTCTGACTGTGGCCGCTGCTATCGACCGTGGGCTGTATGAGGGCGTCAACAAGATGAAGAAGCTTCATTCGCATTGAGGTTGTGCTCTGCTGCTATATTCAGCGGACCACGGGAGACGTATACAATAAAAGATAGAAAAAGAGCAAAAAGACAAGAGACATCGAAAAATCCAAGGAAAACAAACAGCTGCGCAGGAGCATCAGCAAGGCAGGGCACTCAGGCAGTCCAGGCGTTCTAGGTCCATACACCATGGTACACATACTATCATATCCATTGGAAGTTTGTATTAGCATTTTTTGCAGATGAAATCAATTGAGTTATGTTGGGGTATAATCTGTTTCCATCCGTAAGACAGGGCAGAAATCCAGTGGCGAGTGCCGAGCCCTGGCATCTGGACTTCCAGCCAGCATGGATGAACCAAACGGGGGGGGGTGCGGCCACCACCGCTTATGACGTTATAGTAACTAACTAGTTGCACTCCCAAGAAGCAGGAAACTTCCCCCCTCTCGGCGCACGCGACCGATTCCATTCTCTTTCTAACTGTAAAGTATGATGTTCCACGATTCCAGGAGACCATGTTCACGATCTGCCGGAAACCCAGATTATTGATCCGTCCACTCGAGCGCATCCTACCGTCTCCCCGCCATCATGCCTTAATAACCTCCGCGGGGTTGCGCTATACTCCCATCCGAACCCAGACGACCACCACGCCGCTCCCCCCGCACCAATTCCCTACATCAGGCTTCACGACGCTTGATCCGTCGGAGACGTTGGAAGAAGAGCAGCTCCCCTACTACGAACCGAAACACTTCTACCCAGTCCGCCTCGGCGAGGTTTTCGCGAGCCGATACCAGGTCGTCGCTAAGCTCGGCTACGGCACCTCTTCGACCGTTTGGCTTTGTCGAGATCTTCTGTACGTTTCAACCCCGTTGGAGACATGATCCACGCATTTAGAACAGTCGCAAAGCGAAATAGTCCGCACACGAAACAGCAGCAAGAGGGAAACTGAACTCAACCCTACCCTTAGGACCCATGGATACCGCACCCTGAAGGTATGCGCGCAGGGCCACGATCCCGCGCACGAGGTCGCTGTCTCCGAGCACCTCCGCAACACGCCGGACCACGCAGGGAAGGCTCTCGTGCGGCTGGTGCTGAAATCCTTCGTGATCGCCGGCCCCCACGGGCAGCACCGGTGCCTGGTGTACAAGGCGTGCGGGATGAACATGACCAAGTACATGAACGGGTGCACGCTGCCCACGGAGCTGGGCCAACGGAGTCTGCAACTGACCCTGATTGCGCTGTCGTTTCTCCACGCGCACCAGACCGTTCACACCGGTAAACAGCATTGTCGCCCCCCTCCCCCCCTCGTTGACTCTCAGTCCTTGGTCCTCTCTGCATCAAGGTACCTTCGCTGACTAGCAAACACCAACCGAACAACAACAGACGTATCCCCCAACAACATCCTCCAGAAGATCGACGATAGCTCCGTACTGGCCGCCCTCGAAGAGGACGAGATGACGCAGCCGATCGCCCGGAAGGTCCTGGACGACCGGACCATCTACCGCTCGCGAGCCATGCCCGCATGCGAAGGGCTGCCGGTCCTCTCGGACCTCGGGGAGGCGCGATGCGGCCACGAGCGGTATCAGGGCGATATCATGCCGGGCATCTACCGCGCGCCGGAGGTTATTATGGGGATGGAGTGGGATTGCAAGGTGGATGTTTGGTCCATTGGTGTGATGGTGAGTCTTCACCGCCAAGGATCGCTCGGGCCTTGTACGGTTTACTCGATCGACCTGTACTCCCGCTGATATAATCCGAGTAAACAGGCCTGGGACTTCACGCAAGACGAGCACCTCTTCTCCGGAAAAACCCACGGGGTCCTCTGCAACGAGCAACATCTCGCCGAGCTGGTCTCGCTGATGGGGCCTCCACCGCCGGAATTCGTCAAGAGGTGCAGTAACAGCAGCAGCAAGTGTGCCAGATTCTTCGATGAACGAGGTAATGATCTATCCTCGACACTATCCCTGCTACACGGTTCAAACTCGCTGATCCCAATGTATTGGTGATACAGGCAACTGGAAGGGCTCCATCCGCATCCCCCGCCAATCCCTGGCCCAACGAATCCAGCACTTCCAGGGCGCCGACAAGACACTCTTCCTGAACTTCCTCCGGCGCGTCTTTCGGTGGTTGCCGGAGGAGCGCCCCTCCGCGGAGGACCTGGCTCACGATGAGTTTCTGATGCAGCCGATTCTGGCGGCGAGGGAACAGAAGTAGTGCTGGGGGGTAAATGCGAATCATGTCGTTAGATAGACTAATCAATTCGAGCGTTTTGCATAGGCTTGATACCGTGATTTGATGGCGACCAATCCCATGTGAATGGCTCGAGCACGACTTATGTAAAGAGTAACCAAGTCAGTGGGTTAGGGGTTGGAATTGACATTCTCGACAGACCAGAGTAGACTCCGTAGCTTCTCGCTGCATTTCGCCACGGTAACTTGCGCCAGCCTTCTTCCTACTTCATCGACTTTACTTTCCTTCTTATGTTCGTTTCGAGGAAGTTCCTATCTCCAGACACCGCTGCTCTCCCATTTAATACTCATATGGGATGGCGGGGCGGCTGAGTTCGTGGCCCGAGAAGACAGGTAACAGCAACTTTCCTGTACTTCCAAAAGCGAGAAGAGTGGATGTGGTAACTGGATTTGTTCCTCGCTTTCTAAGATTTAATCAGCTCAAGCAGGAATCGTGACTACCGAGAGTGATTCGTTGACTACAGCGTACGCAGTAATGTGTAGGGTAAATGGCCGGTCGCTGTTGGTGGAGCGTGCTTTATGAAGGAGCACCTATCGACCACCGTTTGCGTATATGATTCCCTGCAATCTGACTAGCACATCAACCCGACAACCCTTTCGGGCACGAAATTCCAGTTACAACACCTACATCTGTCATACGTCGTACAGAAAGCGTCTTGTGAAGGGCACCGCAGAGCAGTGGGTTTACTCAATTGTTGACCGTGGAACAATTCGCAGGACAAAAAAAAAGATTTCCTGCCCTCGTGGGATATCAAAGCACCTTCTAGAAAACAAAGCTGCGATAGTTGAACGCCAACAACCTCGAGATAAAGAAACATAATCTCCAAGACAATAACGCCGAGTAATGCTGAGAACGAAACGCTACCAACCCAACCGAAGACGGCAAAACAGCAATCGACCAACCAGAATCTTCGAGTTCTAGCTCTCTAAGATGCATCGAGAACTTTAGAAATCGAAAAAAAAAAAAAAAAAACAGATAAGGGAAAAGAGATAGTGACTAGAGATTGGCAGTATCAGATCTCAAGCGAGAACGAAACGAGCAGAATGGGCACAAGATAGTGAGTCAGCACAAGGCAACGCCCAATCCGCGCGCAAATGTTCACCTAGTAATGGCTGGCGTTGGCGTTGCTGAAATAACCGGTTGGCTGACCGAGAGATTGAGTGTGATGATGCGCTGGGGGCGTCCGTGACTTTTGCGCTGCGAAATATTGCCCGTACCACGACTGGCGCCGCGGCTCTTCTGGATAGTAAGGCTGGTTGAGAGCGTCCCAGGTCCGGCTGGCTGCAGGAAGGTTATACACGCTGTAGTGGCTATCTTGGCCATATAGCTGAGCCTGGGGCTGCGCAGGCATTGGCTGCGGCTGCTGTTGTTGTTGTTGCCAGTGTTGCTGACGCTGTGCGATAGCGTGCTGAACCATCTGGTTGGAAACCCCGTCGCGGATGATCTTCTTCTCGCGCTCTCGAGCATCAATGGCCCCAACCAGACCCATGGGATTGACAGGAGTCACTTGCGGCTTGTGCCCGCCGGAGAAATCAAGCAGCGGAGCGCCGGTCATGCGAGAAACATGCTCCTGCTCCCGGGCCGACAAATGCGACGAGAGTTCATTGTAGTTCATGACAGTACTAGCACCACGAGAGTGAGGACGCGCCGGACCCTCTCTGTGAGCAGACGGGTGCGGTTGTTGCCTGAAGCCGCTCGCCCATTCTCCAGAAAGGGGCCGAGGGAGAGCTGGTGCTAGTTTTGCCGTTGCTGATGAAGATAGAGTTCGGTGGTGAACATGAGCAGGCGGGCTGGGAGCTGACCGTTGTTGCACAAATTGCTCGGGTGTGAGTCGGCCAGGAGTTGTTGGTCGCGGAGCAGCCATGCCCGGCTGCCACATCATGCTGGGTGAACGAGAATGCGAGCGCTCCATGTGGTGGGGGGGACCTTGTTTTTCTGTTGCATTGGAATCGCTCCTCTCGTGACCCGATTTCTTATAGGTCTCCGAGGTATTAGGACGTGCGGTGGTAGGCATCAAAGTCATTGTCGGGCCAAAGTCGATAGTGGGAATGTCAGGATTGGGCTCTAACGATTGTTCAAGAGCGTAATGTGCGTCACCAATGACATAATCCTTCTTGTCAGGCACCGTGCCTACCGTCTTCATGACTCCCATCCTAGGTCGAGGGATCGACTTGACCGAGCGCTTGCTGTAGACAGATCCTTTTGTACTAGCATAATCAGGGGATGCAGCCGACTCATCATCGTAAATGCTTCCCTCATCTTGGCGGTTCCCTGGCTCTCGCGATGTGAATGATAGCTGGCGGCTACCGACCCAGTTGAGGGCCTCTTCGTTAACAGTGTGGCGAAGATCATCGAAGCTGGGCTCCCCTGTCATACTCGAACTGTCTGGCTCTCCAAAGTACTGCTGAGGTACGGGCTTCCTCTTGACAGCCTTTGTAGTATCCAGGCGCAGCCCACGCGCCTTAGGTATAGCCAGTGATGGCCCGAAGGCACCAGAACGAGGCCCAGTAGGCGGGACAGGTTGCGAATCGTGGCTTCTGATCGCCTCCGGGTTCACCCAGTCTGCATAGTGCTCGATAGATTCACTACTTGGGGTTATCGGACTGGGTTCGTTCGAGTCTTTTGTCGTCGCTCGAATTTCTGCCGGCACATCAGGGCCCAGACTACTTAAACCCCCGGAAGCCGCCACAAGCTGTGTAAGAGTGGCGTCCGACATCCTATTATTGACTTTCCTCAAGTCGGACGACGGCCTGGGCCGGGTAGGAGGAACCTCTCCCGGTCCGTGAGTGAAAGCAGGCGGTTGAGCTACCGGCGAAGGAGGAGAGACAGGGCGGAATTGTTGTCCAACAGCTTCGGCCGCAGGGTCTGCATGATGATTTGGCTCACCCTCCGCACTGCTACGGTCACTATCGCGGGCTCGTTCTCCATTTGGCGGAAGCTCGTGAGATGATGATGGCGGAGAGCTGTCGCTAAGAGAAACAGGGACCTGGGCCTGCGAGGCAAGCCCGGCGAAATCAGAAGCGCCACGCGCGTGATGTACTGGTGCGATAGGGTCACTTTCAGGCCCCTCGCGAACGATAGCATCAGTAGACCGATTGTAGCCTGGTCGATTCTCAGGGGGATTCGTATTGCGCTGATTGGGTCCAGCGCGCACATTGCCGCCTTGACGGCTTGGAAGACTGGACCGAAAGCGTGGCTTGCTTCCAGAAACGCTACTAGTTCGGCTTCCAGCCGTTGCCATGCGCCGTGAAGTAGCCTCCTTGAGCTGCCTCCGCCATTCCGCTTCGCTCCAATTCTGGCTTCCGGGTGTCTGCATGAGACTGGAGATATCTAGAATATCCAGGTAACCATAACGTCGGCGGTTGGGAAATGCGAACATGATACTTTTAATATGATTGGTGGCGGCGAGCAGCCGAGTCGGCCTTCCATAGAGGTTGAACGTGTCAAAGGTTGGTATCAGAAAGCGGAGCATCATTTCGAAGCCCGAAACAGCTGGGTGGACTTCAGGCATGACAAAGACGAACCCTTCGGAGGTGGTTTCCGGTTGTGAATGGACAGTGACTCTCCCTTCGATTTTGACTAGAGTCGACTGGTCAATCAATGGCTTCGATTGTGGGTATATCGCGTAAGCAGCGTACGCGTCGGTGATTGTGGCAATCGGCGTCGCTTTCTTGGTCTTCTTCGTTTCGTAAAACTTGATATGGCCTGTGACTAGTCGAGGGGCGCGGTCATATGCCGACTTCTTGATCGACTTCTGCGCTTTTTGGAACTCCTTCTCATTTGGGGGAGTAACGACGAACCAACATCGCTTCCATGGCGTTCCCGCGCCAAATCTCACACGAGCCCAGTCTTCATGTTTGAATCGGTTACGCTCAAGGATATGCTTGACATTATTGAGACTCTTTCCTTTGCCAGCAATGATCGAGCCAGTATATGCCTCATACAAGGAGGTGTGCTCGAACAAAGCCAAACGTATGGCTGCAGTCCATTGCGTCAAAGAATGGAAAGAATTGAAGTGGAGGAGGTATCGATTCTGGCCCGCGGAGCATATGCTCAGGATGTTCTTCAATGACTGTACTTCTTGGTTTCGAGTTGGTAGTGTTTCGAGCTGGATGAATGGATGCCAGTCAGTATCGGGGCTAGACTAGTGTCGGTCCGGAACGCCAAGAGGGGTTTAATGCAGATCTTACCATCTTGATCGAAGCATCCGCCAAATTGATGAATGTTGGGCGAACGTCACCTTCCTCTCCCGCCTCGTCCAGCGCTGCGGCATCCCAAAGGGAGAGGGCAGTCCCGACGAGTTGCGCATAACATTCGACCCATTGTCGGTCGGAACACGGCCGGCCGTCTGCGATTTTCGTTGATTAGTCCCAACTCAAAAACTCTTAATGAGCTGCAGCGAGACACATACGAGTATCCAAGTCATTTAGCTTCAGGAAATAACCTTCGTGATATAGTTTGTTGGCATGACTGTTGAGATGGCCGAAAATAGGCTGAAGTTCTGGCGGTGTGTCTTGCGAAAACTCCAGCAAAGGGGGATTGTGCGAGAAATAGGTCGAGTCGGGTCGTGACGAGATTCGGCGTTCCGCGTTGGATGTCCCACTAATCGGCGACGCATCAACGGGTGAAGTGGTATCTGGCGTAGGAGGATCGTTCCTGAATGGGGGGTGGTTTAAAGTGACTGAAGCCGACGCGGTCCGATGGTGTTGGCTGGGGTTATCTTTGCGAGAGGAGCCGCCGAAAACCGACATCAACGATAACACTGGAGGGGGAATTTGGTGTTAGTATTGCGCTTTCCAAAGCAAGTGAGAACGAAGTCCCTACCACGCGAGCGACCCATGATGTCTAGAATCGGAACTAGAATAGTAACAATAAGTTGAGGGAGAGACCAGTTTCAGGCCCACCGTATAATGTGGCTGTGACCCGGCAGACGCAAGCAGCTCGCGCAAACGATGAAGCCCGCTGGTGATGCGATGGAGCGAAGGTGGAAACGCGAAAAGAAAAAGTATCGGGAGGG